CAGCTGCCCTGGGCTAGATTGACGGAAACATGGCTGCCAGTTTGCGCCTACGGCCTCTCCGACCACCACCACACAACACTCACAATCATACACCAGTGGAGGACACACACTGGGAGCAAGGATGAGTTTTTATATCTCTGATAAGAACCAAATCATTCTAAAGAATTGAATTTGAATCATGATCCAGTCTCCTGTGTGAGTTCTCAAATGTTTGATAAAATTCCCTCTAAAGTTGAACCTTTTACAACACTTAGGGCAGCCAAATGGTTTCTCACGCTCATTTATGGCATCAGGGAAATCACACGTTTTTAGTTCGGCTTCTGGCGCCTTCTGGTGATCTGAATGTAAAGTGAATGTGAACAACTTGATGCTTAAGTTTTTAACAAAAATGGAGTCAGAGCTCTTTTCATAACATAACACACTTCTTTTTTCTTTTCTGATACCTGAAAATCCAGGTATCCAAACCTTATTGTGCCGCTTAAACATCAGAGAGCTGTGAAATGTTGACCTGAAAATAAGACAACCCTGATTATAAGACGACCCCTATTTCAGGACTAGTTAAAAGAGAAAGACTTATGAGGACAAAATCTGGTTTATAAAAAGAAAACAATCCAAATTAAATATGAAATAAAGAACTAAAAGAGTTTTTGGTCGTTATAAACAAATAAGAGAGTATCATCAGCATACAGAGTTATCAGGAGGATTTAAGGAGTTCACTTGGACCATTCTTGATGAAGTAAGTGTGTGTTAGTGTGTGTATGACTCCTCACTGAAGTGTATCAGGGTCTGCAGGAACTTCAGCTGCAGCTGTGTGTTCAGTCTGACTGAGGGAGGTTTTTGTACGACGCTTTTTCACTGTGTGAACACCCACTGACTGTTGAGGTAGTGAGCACTCTGACAGTAGTAAACTGCTGCATCTTCAGTCTGGACTCCACTGATGGTCAGAGTGAAACTAGATCCAGATCCACTGCCTGAAAAAGGACTTGATATCCCTGATGCTCGACTGCTAGCAAGATAAATGAGCAGTTTAGGAGTTTCTCCATCCTTCTGTTGGTACCAGTATATATGGTTATTGTTATACACATTCTGACTGACACTACAGCTGATTTGAGCGTTTCCTCCCGGAGCAGAGCTCACTGCTGCAGGCTGAGTCAATGTGAACTGTCCTCTGGACTCTGAGGATACAGAGACAAACACAGAAAGCAGCGTCATGGTTTTGTGGGCTTCATTTCAGAGGGACGGATGTTCATAGAGGAGAGGAGTTGGATTCTCTGGACTTTACCTGTGAAGCAGCAGCAGAGGAGAGTCCAGATGAGGACGCAGATCACAGTCATGTTTCTGATCAGGAGGAGGAGGAGGATTTCTGTGTCTTCTGTTGTGATGAAGGACAGCTGTCAGTCATCCAGTCTTCAACTCTCAGGACTATAAAGTCTCCCAGAGCACTGGAGCATGCTGCTGCTCATGCAAACTCACTCTCTATGGAAATGACTCCTATCATCAGATCAATACACATTGATTTGATGAAGCGTTTTTATTATCCAGTTTGTCGTTGTCTCCGTCACTCTTGGACAGTTTTTTATCAAATCCTAATCCATGTTGTTTCAGTTTCATTATAATCCCTGCAAATCAAATCTCATTTCCTTCAACTTTAAAAATTCACATTTCAAAAGTTCATCATTTTGATCAGATTAAACAAAATCAAACATAAATAAACTCGTCAGAGAGTTTTTTCTAACATTATTTCAGTGTCTTTGTTGGTTTCATTATTTAATATGAAACAGTGAAAATAAACGCAAACGACGTCCTCGGCCATTAAAGTTCATTTATAAATCAAACTTTTAATTTTAGAGGCTTCAGATTTTCTTTTTCTCCAGTGTCTTTTTCAGATCTTTATCTTTCACAGTTTCTCTGGCCTTAAAAATCTTAAACCTCTGTGAATTTTTATATGTTCATATATAAGTATGACTCTTAAGAAGTGTAACTTGACTCCAGGAATTTAACTTTAAAACAGAAAAACAACATTTAGACATTTTCTGTATTTGACAAAAAAGAGAAAATTCACTGAGAAATTCTGAAATTAAAGTTTTCAAACTTTAACCTCCTGAAGTTACAAAACTAACCCTGTGACCTGTTTTATATATTTAGTACAGAAACTTGTCTGCAATCGTGGTTCAGCAGTGATGCCTGTCTGTTGCCGTGGTGATCGAGCTAAAAGGGAAGTGAAACCCCAGAGATTATCTTAGTCCTCTCAAACAAAGATCAGGAGGTGTGTCGGCCTCCTCTGCTGAAGTCTCATCCATCTGAATGATTTTACCTCCTGTGTGAATTCGCATGTATTCAGTCAAATGACCGTTCCTACCACCGTCAGCAGAGCGGTGAGTTTTCAGGGTCGCTCTTTGGTCTGTTTTCTTTTATTTTTACTGCAGAGTTTTAACATCTCAGGGTAAATAGTGGAACTGATACTTGTGCAATAATCAATTTTTATTTTGATTTTTACATGAAAAAAAAATTCAAACAGACAAGATGAAACATGTTTCCTATCATAGCCCAGTAACCATGGCAACGGGTTACTGTAATTGTCCCCATACAATCTTGAAGACTTAAAAACAGGCAACTGGACTGTGTAGAGTTGAGAAGACGTTTCGCCTCTTATCCAAGAAGCTTCTTCAGTTCTAAAAGTGCTAGTGTCAGGAGCAGATATTTATCTTACTGGAGAAGGGGGACAGTTAACGACTGGCTGGAGTTGAAAAGAATGGGTCGTAGAAACCCATCTCTCGGTGTGTCCCCCCCAAGTCGTTATCCTGAAAGGGTCGTTAGCGACTCCTATCATGTGACCACATGACTCATGCCACCTGAGTCATGTGGTTCCAGGTGTGAATGTTTGTGGAGCTTCCTGGGGAGGGAGCTGAGAACTGCATTGTAAGTGCCAGAGAGATTGTGCCTGAGTCCACCCCCTCTGTTCAGAGAAGGTTTCTCCAGCCTGGTAAAGATGGCTTCTTTAACTCCTCTTTCAAACCATCTGTCTTCTCGAGCCAACACCTGTACATCGCTGTCCTCAAAAGAGTGACCCGTATCCTTCAAATGAAGGTGGACAGCTGAGTCCTGACCTGAGGAAGTGGCTCTCCTGTGTTGAGCCATGCGCTTGTGAAGCGGTTGTTTAGTTTCCCCAATGTACAGGTCTGAGCATTCCACGCTGCACTGGACAGCATATACCACATTACTCTGTTTATGTCTCGGTGTTTTGTCCTTGGGATGGACTAGCCTCTGCCGTAGTGTGTTACCAGGCTTGAAATGAACAGGAATGTGGTGTTTGCCAAAGATTTTTTCCGACAGGCCTGCAACGTAAGGGATTACAGTGCTCTTGCGTCTCTCCTCCCTTTCCTGTTCAGTGTTATTTCTCTTTCTGTTCTTCACAAAGGCCCACTTAGGGTATCCACAGGTTGTCAGGGCATTTTGGATGTGCTTTTGTTCCTTTTCCTTACCTTCTTTCTTCGTGGGAATGTTCTCCGCCCGGTGGTTGAGTGTTCTGATGACACCTAGTTTGTGCTGCAGAGGATGGTGGGAATCAAAAAGTAGATATTGATCCGTGTGTGTTTGTTTCCTGTACACTTCAACGTTGAGACACCCATCTGCCTCCAAGTGTACAGCACAGTCCAAAAAGGCCAACACTTTGTCCTTGACATCTTCACGGGTGAACTTGATGTTGCTGTCCACTGTGTTGATATGGTCAGTGAAGGCCTCTACTTCATGTGTTTTGATCTTAACCCAGGTGTCATCCACATATCTGAACCAGTGGCTAGGAGCGGCTCCCTTGAAAGAGGTTAGGGCCTTCCTCTCTACCTCTTCCATGTACAGGTTTGCCACTATTGGAGAAACCGGGGAGCCCATCGCGCATCCGTGTTTCTGTCTGTAATGGCGCTCTCTGAACTGGAAATAGGTGGTGCTGAGGCAGATGTCCAATAAGGAGCAGATGTGGTCCGGGGTTAAGTTGGTTCTGACTTCCAGTGTGCTGTCCTGTGAGAGGCGTTGTCTTACTGCTTGGACTGCCTCTGTTGTTGGAATACTTGTGAAAAGTGATGTGACATCATAGGAAACCATGGTTTCATCTGGGTCCAACCTGATGTCCTTGATTTTCTCAGCAAAGTCCTGTGAGTTTCTGACGTGGTGAGTGGTGTGGCCGACAAGAGGAGCTAGGATGGTGGCCAAATGTTTTGCCACTTTGTATGCGACTGAGTTAATGCTGCTGATGATAGGTCTAAGGGGCGCCCCTTCCTTGTGTATTTTTGGTAATCCATAAATGCACGGGACAGCTTCCCCTGGGTACAGTCTGTAATAGAGTGGGCGGTCAAGTTTCAGTAGGACACATGAGGATTTTAAATCAGCATTTTGTCCTTATTGTGTTTTAACGTGTGATCTTAAAAATACATCATATCTTTGAAGTCACAGAGCTAAATTCAGCGCTGATCTTAAATTGAAGAGGTTAATCATCAAGTATTGAATTTATTTTTGTTAAGAACAAACTTTAACAGGCATGTGGTGTTATATTACAGCCAGCTGTCAGCAGCCAGCGTGATGTGAGCTCTTGTTAGAGGGGAGAAATACACAACAGCTGCCTCTGTGGACAAGGAGGAATAAAAACGCTTTAAAGGACATTAACTTAGTGCAGGAAGGAAAACAGAGCAAAGTTAAGATGGAGATTTAAGGCCCTGTTGGAGTTAATCTGAGCATTTCCATAGAGAGTGAGTTTGCATGAGCAGCAGCATGCTCCAGTGCTCTGGGAGACTTTATAGTCCTGAGAGTTGAAGACTGGATGACTGACAGCTGTCCTTCATCACAACAGAAGACACAGAAATCCTCCTCCTCCTCCTGATCAGAAACATGACTGTGATCTGCGTCCTCATCTGGACTCTCCTCATCTGCTGCTTCACAGGTAAAGTCCAGAGAATCCAACTCCTCTCCTCTATGAACATCCGTCCCTCTGAAATGAAGCCCACAAAACCATGACGCTGCTTTCTGTGTTTGTCTCTGTATCCTCAGAGTCCAGAGGACAGTACACAGTGACTCAGCCTGCAGCTGTGACCTCTGCTCCTGGAGGAAACGCACAAATCAGCTGTAGTGTCAGTCAGAATGTGTATGACAATATCCGTTTAGCCTGGTACCAACAGAAGGATGGAGAAACTCCTAAACTGCTCATTTATAATGCTGGCACTCGACAATCAGGGATATCAAGTCGTTTTTCAGGCAGTGGATCTGGATCTAGTTTCACTCTGACCATCAGTGGAGTCCAGACTGAAGATGCAGCAGTTTACTACTGTCAGAGTTTTCACTACCCCAACAGTCAGTATGTGTTCACACAGTGAAAAAGCGTCGTACAAAAACCTCCCTCAGTCAGACTGAACTGAAACTGAACTGACGGCTGCAGCTGGAAGTTCACAAACACACACACACACACACACACACACACACTCACACACACACACACACACACACACACACATAAAAAGGAATACAAATTTAACTTTTTTTATCGTAGATGTTAACATATTAAATATTTAGTTTAGTCTAGTCAACATTGTACCAACATCCCTCACATTAAACTCAGTTCCGTCTCATTAAATCTGCTTTTTTACAGATGACAGTGTTTTATACACCTCAATATCCTGATACCCTGATCTAATAACTGATCAAAGCTCCACTTTTTGAGAGAATAAGAATTTGTTTTTTTTTCAGGCCTCATGGGGACATAACATTAATAAACAACATCAAGTTCTTCTCAGTTTGAACTTGGACCAAAAATCTAGTCAAAGAACATATTATTATATTAGTGTACTGTAGATTTCAAACTACCTCTGCTGTATAAAACCCTATACATTTACACGTTCAAAAACACAACAAATTAAAAAATAAAGCCTTAAAAAACTGAGCAGTTTCTTACCAGGATGAGTTTTCATATCTCTGATAAGAACCGAATCATTCTAAAGAATTAAATTTGAATCATGATCCAGTCTCCTGTGTGAGTTCTCAAATGTTTGATAAAATTCCCTCTAAAGTTGAACCTTTTACAACACTTAGGGCAGCCAAATGGTTTCTCACGCTGATTTATGGCATCAGGGAAATCACACATTTTTAGTTCAGCGGCGCCCTCTAGTGTTCTGATAGTAAAGTGAATGTGAACAACTTGATGCTTAAATTTCATACAAAAATGGAGTGAGAGCTCTTTACAAAACATAACACACTTCTTTTTTTTATTTTTTTAATATCCGCCTATACTGTGCAGTTCTTTATTAAGGGTGTACAGGTACCAGGTGTCTTGATACTCTATTTTACACATTATTTTGGAGGTTTAATAATCAGTGAACAAATTAAAATCAGTTTCACCCTCTTCAGTGGACCAAAAAAAAAGCAATTTTTCACCAATGTTCTTCTTATGACTCAAGAATATATTTATTTTTAATAGAAAAAACAACTTTTGTGTTCTATATGGATACTTCTGATATCTGTGTTGGGCATGCAAGATGACAAGTCTGCAGACAACAGGAGAGTTGTACCAAAACTAGAGCTGGAGGAACATCTCTCTGAAAGTGGTGAAAGTGATGAAGACTCGGACACAGGAGAGAGTGAAGAGGAAGCATCAGATAAAGAAGAGAGACTGAGCATGCTTGACGTCACAATGCTGACTGTCAAAAAGCTGTCTGATGTGCACAACGGGAAAACCCCAACATGCAGGAACATGACTTTAGATCTGCTGAAAAGTTTGTACACCCTGGCATACAAGGATCAACCAGCCATGGAAGAGTTTGATAAAACACTGGCCTCTGCTAGTGATCTGTTTACATTTGCCCCATACTGCCCCATACTGGCAGCTTCTGAAAAGCAGAGGGGAGTATGCACTCTTTGGCCAGTACCTGCTCGGACTTTTCCAAGAGTTCCTCAACTGGTCCAAAAATCCTGAGACACTCCTGGAACCTGAAGAGACTGCTAATGTTTTCCAGCAGTTCCCGTTGCAGGAGAAGACCTTCGATGGAGTGTTTCACTACTGCGGTCAGTGGAATACAAACAGAGACATGATCAGAGCTTGTTTGAAGAGGTTGGTGAAGACGATCGCCACCGAGTACCTTTCTGCCCGGGGGTACATTTGGTGAGACCTCTTCAACATACCTAACCACAAAACTTGTGAGTTGCATATTCCCCATCTTGATGGTGGAGTATCCGTTCAGCCAGAAAGACCGTGCAAGAGGCAGAAGAAAGACTCTGGAGGATTATGACAAATGACTGTAGTGACGATGAAGCCAACTGGAAACATGGAAAGAAAAGTTTAAAAAAGGAAGAGAAGATTGAAGTGAACACGGATTGGGATTACATCATAGCCACGGTGGCCAGTAATGGTGGACCCTGCAAGACGCAGCAAGACATCGAGAAAATGATGCTTTGTTTTGATGGGAAATCCCGCGCTGAGAAACGGGAAGCAGTCTGCTGAGAGGTACTGTACCAGAAATTGATCCTGAACAACCCAGACCCAAACCTGGACTGTCAAGGTCCTTACACACCGGGACTGACGCAAATATATGACGAGAAATTAGAGATGTCTGTCTGTCATTATAGCATGTACTGAGTCGGGGCCAGTACCAGATAAACACATGACACTATAATCCATAAACGTAAGGTAACAACCGAGACCTAATGGTGCTGTGACAACAACATTGTGATTGAGTTTGAGACAGTGAAATACATATGGTATGTTGTATCTGAACAGGTTAGCTTAGGAGCTAAAGTTACTTAGCACAGATGAAAGTTCAAACAAAGACGTTTAGCAAACTGTTAAAGCACACAAACCATCGTCATATGAGAAATCCGACACTATGACTCTCCACAAGTTGTCCATCAGGTCGTTATCTTTGTAATATTTGTGTCATTTATCGAAAAGCACTCTGTTCTCCAACTCGAAAAAATTTTGACGTCCGAAATAATTGCACGAAAAAAAAAAAACGGTAAAATAAACACCGGTTAAATAAACTATCGATGTGGTGATATTGACTCGCAGAGACGCGTATTTGTCCATGACTCCGCATCTTTTTTGAAAACGGGTCTGCAGGTGGATATCTGGGTATTCGTCTTCATGCCGTAGTTGGTATGAATAGATAAATCCGGAAAAGACGGTGACCTCATAGCACCCCTCCTCCTCCCCGCCCCCAAACCCACGTTGTCACACACAGCAGCAACAACAATGGCGGTAGCTGTGGTGATTTTGTTCTTGTTCCAGCAACTACAAATATTTCTACGACTTTTATACCAACATTTAGAACAGCAACAACACCAGCTACGGCAACAACAGCATCAAGTGCTCATGCAGAGATGTAGCATGTTATGCGTGCATAACTTGTTGTCGTGGAATCCACCTCGGAGCAGAACCAGACGGGCAACCCGAACCCGATTTTGCGTTGTCATGTAAATGCACTAAGCCTATGTACAATACGATGTGTAAACAGCAATACATGTTTTGGTGCCGACGCCAAGACAGTACGGGGCCGTCCTCGTGTGAGGAGGGCCAAAGTCAACACGTGACTCCATCATGTTTCCATGTTTACGAACTTTGCCAAAATACACATGCTGACCCAAATACCTCACAATTTCCATGAATGATTCTCTTTATACCATGTGTGTATTACATATTGTATCTTCAGCGCCTGTAGGGGAAATGAGTGTTATGTCTGTGGCATCCCTCTTTTGTTGTAACACAAATCTGCTTATTGCATCATGATGCTTTGTAAGCACTATTGTTCTGGGAAGTTGACTTTTTTTGCTGTTTGGGCAGACACTCTCTTTGTTTTATGGAGATTGAACCCATTGTGATCATGTAAATGTTAATAACAGCTGACTTTAAAGGAGATGAGGCCCTAACAGAATAAACATCTTTCTTTGTAATTTCTCAATACCTACTGTATTGACTCAGAAATGGTTACGATCATGTTTAGATGTAAAGAAACAAGTGAACTGTGACACAGTCAACCCAGTTTAAGGTCAAGTTCATGACTGTTCTCCTGCTTCATAAAGCCCTTTGTTTTTGTCACATAATAATCCTTGTGTTTCTTAGATTTCAAGGGCATTTGTGGTTGCATCACATGCATCGGCAGCGTCAGTGAGTCCGTGTTTACAAAAGCTTCATCCGGCAGGAACTCAAGAAAGTACAGGGGGAGTACAAAAACAGGGTGTTACTGGGGTTACTGGGCCAAATCCTTTCAGGACACCAACCTCGTTTGTTGAGATTATGGTGGTACTTTTACAGTTGGAGCTAAACTATAACTCAATCACATTAAATATGTATTAAACAGTCTGTATTCACTGCTACTCGATGCAGTAATTTATCCAGTTGAAAATCGTTACAACTTTTGGGGAAAACGGAGGCACCCATCTTATCCAACTGCAAGTACACGCGGGTGCCTTACGGCGTAATGGTGCGTTCATGGATTTCGGGAAACTAAAAAGGTTTTCTAAGCGCGAGCAAGGCGGTTGCTATGGTTACCAAGCAGCATTTGGTGGTCTTTCCCATAATAGGAAGCACTTATTAGCAAAAAAGATGATTATTATCTGTAGACAAAAGCCTAATATAATGTGTTACACCAAAAAAACAACAACACTGAGATAATTCGGTGGCGAAGATAGTAATAGTCAGTATAAGTTGTGGTTATTTCCACCTTACAGTAAGGGAGAATGGGGTAAGATGAGCGATTTTTCATATTTCTGATCACTACATCAAGGTAATACTAGTTTTGTCTCCAACTAGTGTATCTGCAGATATTTCAAGATGTTGTTCATCCCTGCAAACCAACAGAATGAGTGTAAACAAAACTGTCTTTATAATTTAGCATGCCAAAAGAAAGTGGTCTCCTATGGTCAACTTACCCCATACACGGGGTAAGTTAAGCTATGTTTTGTAAAAAGTCATTTTAACATAAGAATGTCTTTAAGTGATTCAGAACATTCACAGCTGTAAAAGTCAAACATTTCAACAATCTGAACTGAAACTCTGATCCTCTCATCAGACTCCTTTACTTTCTCAGTCGAGCCACTGATTGACTCACCCCTGGCCAAATGGCTCAACTTGTCCCAGAACTCAACTCAACTTTATTTGTAAAGCACTTTAAAACAACCACAGCTGAACAAAGTGCTGTACAAAAGTAGACAAAACAACACAGACACAAAAAACAATTAAAACAATGAACAAATAAACGCAGATATTAAAAATTAAAAAATGGTTTCAATGTTTTTAAAAACTAATTAAAAATAAAATAGAAACAAATAACTAAACACAAACCATAAAACACTAAAACAGGAACCGAAATGGGCTTTAAGAGGAGTTTTAAAAATGGACAGTGTGGGGGCTTGTCTGATTTGGAGGGGTAGCTCGTTCCATAATTTTGGGGCCGCAACAGAAAAAGATCAAATATGATGACTTTATTAGTCCTCTAAGATAAAATGGTGGACTTGTATGGTTTTTGACCTCATGTTGTAGCTCATAGATACCACAGTTGATGTATAAAACTAATTTCTTTTACCATTTCCAAGCAAAATGGTGGCTCAACTTACCCCACTCTCCCCTAAAGATTCATTTTTAGTGGATATGAATGTAAACACTGATTAACATAAAGCCTTTATGGTTCGTCTTTTATGAATAACTGTTTTTTTATTGTCTTTTTTAAGAATGTTATTAAGTGTTAAAGTTGTATAGCACATTTTGTTTTCCTTATAACTCTCGCAAAATTTACAACAGAACTGATTAAAAAATATCTAATTTAAAACAAACATAAATGAGCTCAAAAGTCAAAATGATACACAAAAAAAAAGGTGATTTGAGGATAAAACTCTTGGATAACGGCTACACTTCAGGGAGGCGTAACCGTTTAGCCCGATTATGAAACTTCCGAGGGGTACGTGAACGCAACTAAAGGGGCGGGAACTTTGCGTAAGTGTCCACCATTCTCCAGGTTAAGGCGGCGTGTTGGAGCAGAAATTGTCAGTGTTTCCCCCAAGGATAAGTCACATCGTGTACCGGATTGTTTTTCGTCTGTCGGCCGGACTCAGAGACACCATGTGCGGCAGTTGGTGGAGCAGCGCAGCGGTGACCCACGGGCTCATCGCTTTGTTCGCCATGGGCTCGTGGATTTCCGTCAACAGTCTGTGGGTCGAGCTCCCGGTGGTTGTCAGCGTGCTGCCCGAAGGTCAGTTGACGTCTGGGGACTGAGTTTACCTTAACTGGCCTTTGGTCTGTTAGTCATCCTGTAGACTTCGATTAGAAAGGAGGGAGAGGATTTATATTAATTTACTGTTTAATTAATGAAGCTTTGGAGTCCTCTTTGGGACATTAGCTAAATATAAGGGGCGGTGGCTTATAACAGATGATTACAGTTAACAAACTAAATGGATGTTGAAGTTACATGTATGTTTTTTTGGAAGTTTTTCAGGTAAAATCAATAAAATTATCTAAAATCAGATTTTAAACAGTCACAAGAGAGAAAAAATGTGCACTTTGGAATAGCCCAACACAACACAATACTCACTAAATACGTATGACACTATTAACACCAACTTATACTCCAAATTTTCATTTTATTTTTACTGACTTCAGTCCATATTGTCCGTTTTTTCTTTCTAAATGTGGTCATCTTTTAAAATACTGTCTTATAACAGAGTATTTAACCTAACAGGTAATATAGTTACAGGTAAGTTAGTCAATACTATGACATATAAATGTTAGAAATACTGAGTTCAGTCATTTAGTTTTCTTTTGATTGAAATATTAAGTGTAGAAATGACCATGAGTCGGATGTTTCTGTACTCTAAATCCCTTTTTTAATTAATCTTGGGAATAATTCTAATATTTGAGACACTGGACTTCTCATTTTCACTGACTTCGAGTCAAAGTCAACAAAATAAATATATAGATTTTATCAAAGAAGGTCACTTTATTAAATATATAAAGTTTTATACTCTATAGCAGTGTTTTTCAACCTTTTTTGAGCCATGGTACAGTTTTTCATTCAAAAAAAAAAATCACGAGGCACACCACCAACCAAAATTTTACTAAATGACACTTGGTAGCCCCAAATACAGTTTATATTATGACAATATAGTCTCTCTGTTAATTCATACTCACCATGTGTGAAACCTGGGGCTGTAGATTACAGCACAGACACTTGAGACTTGAATATTATTTGCAGATAAATTATTTTTTTTTAAAAAGTGAAATTGGATAATTTTCATGGTACACCTAACTATCTGTCATGGCACACTGGTTGAAAAACACTGCTCTATAGCATGACCTATTTCATGATGTTCTTATTTCTAGAGATGCATCTGCAGGATGGAAGGCTTTGGTGAGAAAATGTTGGTTTGTGTTGATTTTGGTGACCCCAAGTGGACAAAACAGTACCTCTCATATTTTAACTGATTTCTCATATACACAGGTGAGAAGTGTTAAAAAAAAGTCTCATGTAGATTATTTTAAATCCTGGGCTGGACAGGATTATGGAGGCAGTCTTACATCTATCCTTTGGTGCATAAAAAGACTAATAGAAATATGAAGCCTTTAGACTAAGAGTCACATCTGTTTTTATAGATGTAGAGGGTGGAGGTGGGAAAAGCAGCCCTCACAGGCTTTATTACTCTAACATATGTTACCTTCCTTCCTGTTCAGGGTGGAACCTGCCGGCCTATCTCTCAGTGCTGATCGCTTTCGGGAATATTGGACCTATCGCTGTGACCATCACACACCACTGTGCTCCGGGACGTTTAAACGAACGCCTCATCATTCACTGCATCCAGCTGCTGGCTGTGGCCGCGTCTGCTCTCATGGCTGTTTTCTGGTCGCACACCGTCACAGTAGCAGGAGAAGATAGGTCCCTGCTGTTCCTGCTGTTCACCTTTGTGCTGGCTTTAGTTTGCTGCACCTCCAACGTCACCTTCCTGCCTTTTATGTTTCGTTATCCGCCCGAGTACATCCGCACCTTCTTCATAGGTCAAGGCTTCAGCGCCTTGTTCCCCTGCATCGTGGCTTTAGGACAAGGTGTCGGTAAGCTGGAGTGTAAAACTGTGAACGGCACGGTGCAGCCACAGTATCTGAAAGAGAACTTCCCCGCACAGAACTTCTTCTGGTTCTTGTGTGCCATGCTGTTCATCTCATCGGTGAGTTTCTGGGCTTTAATACAGAGGCAGACTGAGACGCAAAAAGACGCACTCCCGCAGGGGGAGGACAATGCAACAGCGGCCAAAAACGGCGAGGAAACACACCCGCTGCATAACGGAGCCATGACGCCCGTGTCCGAGGAGCAGGTGCGGGTCGAGGAGCAAATACAAGTTCAGACGTTTTGGACTCGGAGCAACATCTACCTGCTGTTGCTGCTCGCTATCTCCAACGCTCTCACCAACGGGGTGCTGCCATCTGTGCAGAGTTTCACCTGTTTGCCTTACGACACCATGACCTTTCACCTGTCTGTGGTCCTCGGGAACATAGCGAACCCGCTCGCCTGCTTTCTTGCCATGTTTGTCGCCCTAAGGTCAGAAAAAAGAATATTCATCAGGAACAACAGAATTAATACTTGTCAGATAGTTACTTTTAGGAGTCTTCTTACAATTAATTGCGACAGCCGGGTTTTAATCATCCTGATTTCTGTCTTCTAGGTCCTCGGCTGGTCTTGGCTCTTTGTCTTTAGCGGGGGGAGTATTCGCAGCATATCTGATGGCGTTGGCAGCACTCAGTCCCTGTCCTCCTCTCCGGGAAGGCCTTGTTGGCAAGGCTTTAGTGGTGAGTGTGGACTCTGGTTTAAAGATGAGACAAATGAAATTGAGTTGCATAAATATTTTCCTATTCTTGTCTGATATAACATTTCAGCAGATGTAGAAATATTATAAAAATGTGTGATTTCCCCACGCCATTAGCAATCATGCGTCCCCATATTACCAGGGATGCTGTGTGCTTTCTTAAAAGACTGTCAAGTTTGTATTCGTCGGACCTCAAGAGGGTTTTCCTGTTCGCCTCAGTCCACCCTGGTTCGGCTCAGGTTTAGAGAAGTGAAATGCAAGAGCAAAACAATGATCTGGTAATCTTTGACTGCTGTCAGTCTCCTTACGTGAGCTTACAGACAGAACAGATGAAACACCGAGAACTCGATGCCCTCAGCTTGAGAAAACACACAACCCGCACAGCTGTGACAAAAATCCTGCTCTTGTGTGCCCCCTACAGGTCATCTCCTGGATTGTCTTCACCGGCCTCTTCTCCTATCTGAAGGTGGTCATTGGGACTTTGCTTCACGAGGCCGGTCACGCTGCCCTGCTGTGGTGCGGCATCTCCATCCAGGCCGGCTCTCTGATCGGAGCCCTCACCATGTTCCCCCTCATCAACATCTACCATGTGTTTGAGCGCGCTCGGGAGTGTGTGGACGACTGTACCGTTCCTCATAATGGGAGCATTGTGGCGCTGCACATTGGCCAGGGGATGTAGATCTATATGATGCAGTAATACCACAGCTGCTTTGTGTCCCGTTTTATAAAGAATCTCTGTAGAATGAGCTGCTTGTATTCTCAATAACAGCTCATGATGGATCACAACAGCGGACCACGTGGAGAGCCAAACCCTCAGGGATACGGTGATGAAAATTTTCATCCACAATCAGATCTTCTGAAGTGAATTCAGGAGGAGTGTTCATATTTTTAGCTGTAAACTACGACGTGTTTATGAATGACTTTTACTACCTCTTCCCTTTGGTCCATGTTTAGATCAAACATGATCATTTCCACAGTTTCGTAATCACCACACAGACGATGAAGTTGTCCTGAAGCCAGTCGAATTAGTAATGCAGCAACCAAAATGAAAACCGTTTGTTTTCATTCCTTCGTCTTCTGCCAAAATAATTTCTCACTGCCTGAAAATGTTGAATTTAAGCTAGAGAAGTCTTTTACAAGTGTATCTTTGGTTGTGTTTATGTTCCTACTTGTGTTTTATATAAGCATTTTATATAATTTGTGTTTGTATTTTGGATTTACATTTATCTTTCTTAAACATTAACTTCTATATCTGGCCGTGGTGACCCGTAAAGATGTGAATGACCGTTTTGTAAACAGGATTTTGCCGTCTCACACTTTGGGATAATAATGTATATCTGCAACACACACTACTGCTGTGTAAGGTCGGTTTATCAACAAGCTGCTACAATAATCAGATTTAATACCGCACTGCTCAGAGGTTTACAGAAGAAGAAAGTCCGTGAAGGTTGCCTTAACTTTATGGTTCCATGCCTGCTTTTTGAATTTCTCAGATGTCCGTTACATCCTGATTTACGTTTGAACACAAAAAAGGTGTTTTGTTGTTATTGATGTTGTAATCATGGTTTAAAGTTTCCGTTTTCATGCATTCATATGAGTGAGCTGGTGAATAAAGATTTGTCGAAAAGGTCCTGAAGCTGCTTTTGTCCTTTAACTTCTCTAATTTTAATCACTAAAGAATATAAACATGTTTATTTTTAATTTTACAGAATAAATAAGAACCAAAAACTACATTCAGTTCAACAAAAGGAGTGCTTTCTTCGATGTCTGTAAATTAATATTTAAAGAAGAAGGCCGGTCTCTTCTTAGCTGAAACTAAACCCACTCTCTTCAAACTTCACACTAAGGTGCAAATGTGAATTTTTGACCTAATTAATTAATTAAATAAATTACTCTGAAAGTTTAACGAGGTTTGTTTTGTCAGATCATCTTAAAAAGTTATAAAACTGAACAATGTAAACATTCATCTTCGCCTCTACCGCATGATCCCCGGAGGCACACTTACTGAACTCTGCAGGTCCTGCATTCCCCTCACACAGACAAGTCCACACAGCTTCAAACCACAACATGTGATGGACCTAAAACTCCTGACAGTAAAAGTATTGAAGGCTTCAGACAATGACCGGTTAACATGTGTCATGGTTGGCTACATGCTCCCACACCCACCAACACCAAGGAGGGTTTAATCCCCTGACGCACACACGCAGACTTTACTGCTGAGGACTTTGGCTTCTTTCCCTCCGCAGAAAACTTCAAACTCGCCAACCAACAGCATGTGAGTATCTGCAGGGATGCAAACTCTCCTATATTTCAGCTGTAGACAGAGTGATGGTATCAGATATTCTGCATGTGTCTTTGCAGATCTTCTCCCTCTCGGAGTAAATTCTGATAGTAATAGAATTATTTGAAGACTGAATCATTGCTGTGATCTGAAGAGTTATGTGCACTTTCACTGGGTTAAACTGTAACGTGTCTTTATGAGATTTTAACTCGGCTCATCTTCTTTCCTCTGCTCAGTCTCTTTTCTAACATTTTGCACTTATTTTTAAGGCATTTAAACCTTTTTGCATTTGCTTTGCATGCTCTCTCTCTCTCTCTCTTTTCCTAATAAACAATGCACCGGTCACAAGTTTCCTTAAAGTTACACAATCTTTACTTCTGCAGCAGGTGGTCATATTTCTTTCCCTGTGTGCTTAATGTTTTAAGCTGCTTTCACCCTACGCCTCCCTCTGATTAATGTAAATAACTCCACATGAATAAATTCCTGCTCTTTGCATGTGACATGTTTTTGTTCATGTGACTGGCTAAGCTGAATTGAAAGAGTTCTTTACTTGCAGACCAGGAGAATGACAAGACGTTGAGAAAACATTAACCAAATATAATAAGTCAACCGCCTTCTCTCTACCTTTGAGAGGTGTGAGCGCAGGGATGGGTCCTCATGGTGACACATTAATCAGTCGTGTTAAGTTAACCATTGGTGGTGTGTGTGTTGAAATTTCTGTTTGCGTGGTTTCTTTTTTAAAACATTTATCATGAAAACTTATTTTACAGTTAACCCCAAAGATAATCCTAACAACTGCAAGCTGATCTCAAACTTTTCACCCACATTTGTCCAAATTCTAAAAGCAAACATTGTCTTCACTTTATGGTTAAAGTTCTTTGGACCCACTTTTCTTTGCAGAACTTATTCTGGTGTCATATGAAAACATTTAAAGAGTTGGTGCGTTTAAATCAAATGCAGATAAAATCATTTGCATGTGTGAATTACGTGTAGAGGAGAGTGGGGTAAGTTGAGCCACCATTTTGCTTGGAAATGGTAAAAGAAATTGATCATGTGACCAAATATTTAGGAGATGGGCATCAATTCATGGAGTCTGTGAAGGTTAGAAGCACATGGGTGAAGGGGTTAGATATTTAAATACAAAAAAACAACAACATTTTTTTACTCTTGGAAGTGAATTTAGTCTGTAATTAGTTTGATTAGAATTGTGTTCAGACAAAAAAAGATCATTTTAATAAATTGTGGTATCTATGAGCTACAACATGAGGTCAAAAACCTAACATAAAAGTCCACCATTTTAGTTTAGAGGACTAATAAAGTCATCATAGTAGTTCAGGGGTAACTGAGAAAGTAAAGGAGTCTGATGAGAGGATCAGAGTTTACGTTCAGATTGTTGAAACGTTTGACTTTTTCTTTTCAAAAATTACAGATCTGTGAATGTTCTGAATCACTTAAAGACATTATTGTGTTAAAATGACTTTTTACAAAAACATCTTATATGCAATAATAATAAAAAGAGTTGTTGAACCAGTTGAATGACCCAGTTTAAAAAGTAATACAGAAATAGTAATACATGGTTCTCACCAGGTACAGGGAGGAAGAAGGGCGTTAACTATCGGGTGTTTTCACAAATAATTAATATACTCATTTATTCTATTTATGTTGTATTTTTTTGTTAATATAATTTAATTTCTGCTGGAGACTGACTGACATTATTGAGCAAAGGAAAAGGGGTAGGTTTTTAAAAAAATACATAATGCTTCATCCTACTCCTTTTCGGACATGTTGGGTTTGCATTCTTATTATTGTTAGGTTTTTTTTTTCCTATTTTTGCTTTGATTAATGTTATTGTTTACACTCATTCTGTTGGTTTGCAGGGATGAAAAACATCCTGAAATATATGCAGATACTCTAGTTAGAGACAAAACTAGGAATGACTTGATGTAGTGATCTGAAACATGAAAAATGGATCATCTTTCCCCACTCTCCCCTACATGTTCGTCAATGTAAAGAAGTGCTCGGACTAGGCAGTGACCTCTTGAGAAATGAGGCCATTGGGGAAGTGCAAAAAAAAAAATGCAGCCCCCCCAAGTGTTTGCATGAGGCCGGCTGCAGGGGCACCGGAAACCACGTACAGACTGAGTTAAAAAAAAAAAAAAAAAACACGGAGCATTGACTGGAGACGATCACGGCACTTCTACAATCCACATTAATTAAAATAGTCCTACAAATATTCTCACCACAATGGCCTAAATGTGACACACGGCCTGATAACACCACCCACGGACGGTGTGTCCTCATGGATCCGTGTAAAAATGAGTGATTGAACCGTGATTTGTGGGTTAGTTTGTGCACGTAAAGTTGTATTTATCTGTCACAATTTAAACCAAAATTAAAACATTACCTGGATACTGCTGTAAATGGTTGATACCCCACAGTCCTCATTCATGACGTTGCTGGTTTGCGTGGATGTGTTACAGGCTCACAGTTTATCTTTTGCTCATCTTGGATCAAATAACTCCTAAAACTTTTTTTTTTTTTTTTTACATAATTACTAACTTTCACTCGTGACTTTGATGCATGTTTCACTTAAACAACCATTCATTGCAATTTTTCGCATAAGAAGAGCAGAACTCGCTGCTTCTACGTTCTAGAACGTGGAATGGATCTAGTTGAAGACACAAAGGACAACTTCTGTCACAGAAAAACAGCTGCATAAGGGAAACTAGTTCAGACCAGTTGGACTAACACACCTGAGCTGCGGGACAAACTTGTTTTAAACACGAAAACGGGATTAAAGAGGAGCTCGCCTGAAGGAAGGTCGGACTATCTGGTCTTTTGTTATTACAAGATGTTCACAATTTGTTCAAACTCCGCTATAATCGATGAAAATAGGCTGACAATGCACGCAGGGACCCCTCTCCCCCTGCAATCACATATTTGGTTCTAAACGGACGCGAATTAAACACGCAAATTACGCAAAGCACGCGCACAGCATCCAGGAATCCAGACAACGCGAGAGTCGTTCGAGTGAAATGATTTTATCCGGACTTGATTTGAACACAACATCACGGATAATAAAGCTTACACGGATGACCTCCGTGAAGTTTCCACGGAGGAGTAAATCACTGTCCTCCAAATTTCACCGTAACTTTCCCTCGAAAGATCGTCTCCAGTCAAACCCGAGTCCAAATTCACCCGAATTATCGATTATTCTGGAAAACTAAATGTTGAATTATTTACTTGCTCGGGGCATATTTTACACTCTTTGCATTGCTTCGTATCTGCTCTTTTTAGTAAATTAAAACAAGAAATCTTACTGATACCATCTCAACACAGTCTGTATTATTTCCAGTCATTTTTTATGTACTATAGTTCAGGGAGAAAACGCCTTTAAGAGCTCTGAAATCCCTCACATCAGAGTAGTTATCGGCTGTTTTTTATGCTCCTCATACCTCACGATCACATTTAAACCCTAACAATGCTCCAGTTTAAATAAATTAATAAATATGTGATGACTGTTTTCCTTTTTTTTCCCTAGAAAACGTGGGTTAACGGTATAACAACACTCTTATTATGCTGTATCAGGTTGCTAGCTTGCTAAAGTTGCCAACCTCACTTCAGTCAGTCAGGGAGAAAACGCCTTAAAGAGCTCTGAAATAACACACATAAGAGTTGTTATAGGCTGTTGTTTAAGGTTCCTCACAATCACATTTAAACCCTGACAATACTTAAGTTTTAAGTATTTATTTATTTATTTAAAACGGGGGTAAACAGACAATCGCGACCCCCTTATGCTGTGTCAGGTTGCTAGCTTGCTAAAGTTGCCAACCTCCTTCAGTCATTTACTGTGAAACAAGAAGTGACGGTCTAAAACTGCTGAAAGAGCATCTGAATTTCAACACATAGCTTGGAGCTACAACTCAGAGCCTTGCTATATGTGGAACACAGAGATGCTTTAGCCTTAATGCTAATAAGATCACAAAAACAGAGCTTATACAGTGTTTGCAGGGCTCATGTTCACCATCTGATCGCTAACTGCTTAAAACAAAGTCTAGATAAAGCTGTCATGTCCAGCTGTATAATCAAATTCAAACCTTAAAGTTTCACCGATTGATGACACCGAAAGTTTACTATATGTTTTTATTGAAGTGCAATTTCAGGTGTTCAAATGTATTCTGTCAGTCTGGCTGGTGGAGCTGCTGCCACGCCCCCCAACTGACCAAAACACGAAGTAACTGTACACAACTTAAAAGGGTTATTTCGGCGTAGAATTGATTTCGGGTCAAACACACTGTAAAACCGAGTTAGACACCCCCTCCAGAGATGAATGTTGCCAACCGCTTGCTTCTCTAGTTATCCCTCACATACTGTTCAAATCCTGTACCCTCACAGTATGTTCCGGGTCAAAACTGCCCCTTCAAAGAGTTCAAAGAGCAGCTTTCTGTCACAGAAAGTGCTCTTGACTAGTTAGGTCATTTTGACCTCTGTCTAGGTGTGTCTGTGTGACTGTATGTCTGTGTGCGTGCGTGCGTTTCTGTCAAGGTAATGATAGTTTCATAATGATTTCAATATATCTTTTTGAACAACAAACCTTATATTGAACACGGTTGTTACTGTTTGTCACTTGTCCCACACTGTTAGATCTAAAATCCATCTAAATATAGATACGGGTCAAATTTGACCCATAACAGCCTTAGAGGGGAAAAATTTGTAGCACATAAACAAAAATATATGTGAATATTTTTAAATTAATTTAATGTATTTTGGGTTATTTCAGGAAAAGTCGTCAAGTTTCAGGCTTAAAAAATGATGTTCAGGGTATTTTTACTGCTGTTAAAAGTCAAAACGGGTCAAATTTGACCCCGAACGGTATGTGAGGGTTATACCAACTTTAGTAACGACCGCAGGATAGTAATACACAGCGGTCTGAGCGGTCAACTTCATCAACAGGACATATAGGGTCACAGACATAGTACTAGACACCAAACATCTTTTTAACTTTGACTGTTGTTTTTCCTTGAGCTGCGGCGCCCAGCTGTAGTCCGTAATAGACTGGCCCGAGGTCTCGCTAAATGGCTGCTGGAAGTTAGGTGCTGTTCTGAGCATTATTTGTTTTGGTTGAGTTTTGTTTATGGCTCCTCAGACCTCTCTGTATTGCTATCCTGCGGTCGTTACTAAAGTTGGTATAACTAGAGAAGCAAGCAGTCGGCAACATTCATCTCTGGAGGGGGTGTCTAACGCCGTGTTAGGGTGTGTTTGACCCTGAATTAATTTTACGCTGGAATATCCCTTTAATCCTGGTTGGTACAGTCCACATTAAATAAGTTTCCTATTTAAAGATTTTGAATTTACTTAGTCTTCTAAGATCAGAGGTCATTTGAAACCTGTTTAATGGTCTTTCTCAAACTTTTCTCATCTTTTTTTAGATAACTCAACCTCCAACATGTCCCTCCTCACCCACCTGCTGGCATGTCTATTTGGGATGGGCTCCTGGGTCTCCATCAATGGCCTCTGGGTGGAGCTGCCCCTCATTGTCCCCCAGATCCCGGAGGGCTGGTTACTTCCTTCATACCTCTCTGTTATCATCCAGATGGCCAACATCGGTCCCATCTTTGTCACGCTAATGCATCGCTTCCAACCCGGCGTCCTCAACGAGACTGCTGTCATATATTTTATCATCGGGCTGGGGACTGTGGCGACCTTCCTGATGGGTTTCTTCTGGAAGGAGACCTTGGTTGTGGCCGGTGCTTCTCGCAGTGTAGCCCTGCTTGCGTTGACTTTCTTCCTCTCTGTTGTTGACTGCACCTCCTCTGTCACCTTCCTTCCCTTCACAATGCGCTTAAAGCCCCAGTATCTGACCACATACTACATCGGGGAGGGTGTGAGTGGCCTCCTGCCTGCTTTGGTGGCTATGATTCAGGGCGTTGGGGTCGTCCGCTGCGTAAACAGCACACAGTTACCAGACCACACCCTGAACACCTCCGATGGTGCTTCAACCTTTGATCTCAGGGCTGAGTATCTGCCGGCGAACTTCTCTGTGGAGGTGTTTTTCTTCTTTCTGAGTTTCATGATGCTGGTGTGCCTTGGGGCGTTCTTGCTGCTTAACTATCACCCATCTGTGGCCAGGGAGCATCCAAACACTTGCCTCAGAAATGGAGTAAAAGACAAATCGCTGTCAAAAAGGAAGGGGGCCGAGGAGAAGCCCATGATGGATCCCTACAGAGAAGTAAACCCAAAGCGAAAAAGCAACTTTGGCACAGGCACATACAGCTGGATGCAGGTGATTTATATCTTTGTGATCCTGGCCTGGGTGTGCGCTCTGACTAACACTTTAGTCCCTTCAGTGCAGTCTTACTCCTGCCTGCCATACGGGAACAAAGCCTACCACTTATCGGCCACCTTGGCTGCTGTGTCCAACCCACTGGCCTGCTTCATCGCCTTGTTCCTCCCCATCAGGTAAACATGTTGAAATAACAGTTTAGGTCACCTAAGATACATTTCCTCATCACAGCAATCAAAAGTGGGTGAAAAGAGAAGATAACACCATATAAGGTAACGTTAAAGCTCCTGTGAGCTTTCAGTTTGGGTATTTTTTGACACCCCAAGTTCTCTTTTCTGGTTTGTCTGGCTTGTCTAACACCAACCCCCGCTCTATTTTCGGGTATTAAAAGCACCCATATAAATACTCATATTAAATCTGTATACTGATGGTTCTGTTTGCAGTTATAACTTATAACAAGGCAACAGTTTTCATTTCAATCTGCTTCACAACCAGCTAAAAACTCCTCACAGGAGCTTTAAATTTGTTTCTGGGTGATCAGAAGAGCTTATTTTAATGAATAAAGTTATTACATTAATTTTACTAAGTGTTTAACTTTCTGGTTTAGCTGCAAACTTCAGTTTATAGTAAAGAAAATGACATTTATAGCTTTCAGTAAAGTTTGGGCGTACTTTGGTTTGTGTTACCTTTTATTATCACATTAGCTGCCCTAAATTTGACTCCAATCTCAGCCCCTCTCCTCCTGTTTTATGTTCATTTCCACTTTCCTATCCAATAAAGGTGAGGGACAAAACAATAATAACAAAAAAAGATAATTAAAGCTCCTGTGAGGAGGTTTTTTGCTCATAAATAAACAGACTGATGTTAAGAGTGGTGAGTCTCCATGAGTTAAAAGTACAAATAAGACTTTAGGCAACAAGACCGACCATGTCTACGTTGTGTTTTTTTTAATCCCTGTAGAGACTTAGAGGGGGTTTGATAGCAGCATGTCAAAGTACAACCCTTTTTTTTACAGGACTGTAGGAGAGAGACAAAAGGCACTACTTAGTCCACAGGGGGCGCCAAAACACCACAAACAGAAAGCTGCAAACAGGAGCTAAAAATAAGTGGTCACAAGATAATGAAAAAGTTATAGGGTCCGTGTACTTGGCGGCCAACAGAATTTCATTTTCAAATAGAAAAAAAGAAAATTGGGAGACAAGCTGAACTGTCTTCCAAAGACCATTAAGGAATCAGGAGACAAAAAAACGAAAATCAAAATAGGAGCGTGGAAATCTTGTGTAATTTAATTGATTTGTGAAAACACCCGATAATCAGTGCCCTTCTTCCTCCCTGTACCCGGTGAGAACAATGTTTTTGTATTGCTTTTTAAACTGGGTCATTCAACTGGTTAAAGAATTCTTTTTATTATTATTGCACATAAGATGCTTTGTAAAAAAAAAAAAAAAAAATACATTTTAACATGAGAATGCCTTTAGGTGATTCAGAACATTTACAGCTATATTATAATTAACACATTTCAACAATCTGAACTGAAACTCTGATCCTCTCATCAGAGTCCTTCACTTTCTCAGACATATGTTAATCAAATTTTTCCGTAAACAAAAAAAGAACACATGATAAAAAACAAACAACCATACATTTGGCTCACACATACACATTATGTTTAAATTTATACAGGCGAGAGATTCAGGAGTCGACTTATACAGATGAAATAATAGGGTCATATATTCAAAGAAAGGTACCTAGAAGCAGGAACATTAATTATATAAGACGTCACATTTTTAAGTGAGAATGGTAGATTTTTAAACAAAAATATGACAGAATGGGTTCCCATGTTTTACGAAACACGTCATCTTTGCCATGTAATTTACATGTCAGGTAGTCCAATGCAACACACTCCAGAGTCACCCTTTGCCACTGAGCCTTGGCTGGGACCATATCCAGGATCCAATTGAAAAGAATACACTTTCTACCACAGAACACAAGTGTTTGATGGAGTATTCTTCTAGCAGACATAAAGGATTATTGTTTGTATTATTAGATAGAATCTTATAAAGAATTACTCCTTACCCCTGGCCAAATGGCTGAACTAACCCCAGAACTACTATGATGACTTTATTAGTCCTCTAAGCTAAAATGGTGGACTTTTATGTTAGGTTTTTGACCTCATGTTGGAGCTCATAGATACCACAGTTGATGTATAAAACAAATTTAAAATGATATTTTTTGGTCTGAACACAATTCTAATCAATCTTATGACAGACTAAATTCACTTTCAAGAGTGAAAAATGTTTGTTTTTTTTGGTAAATAAATGTGTAACCCCTTCACCCATGTGCTTCTAACCTTCACAGACTCCATGAATAGACCTTTTTCACAGTACGCGGAAGTTGGCATTCTGCTCACCTCCGGTGTTAGCGTGTGGTGGAGCCACTTAGCATCGCCCATAGACGGCCATTCATTTTTCACGATATTAACAAGCTTGAGACTCGTTTTTTTGAAAGGTAATGTAAAATTTTATGCTTTGTGCCGTTTTACTAACTCCTGTTCTTCATAATACTGTCCGGATTTTGTACTTTACTTTTCTGGAATTATGTTTAATAGGTCTGGAAATTTTCTGATGATGGTAACCATTGCTCTTCAGTAATGACCTATTTAACATAATTCCCGACAAGTAAATCACAAAATCCGGACAGTATTATGAAGAACAGGAGTTAGTAAAACGGCACGAAGCATAAAAACTTTCAAAAAAATGAGTCGCAAGCTTGTTAATATCGTGAAAAATGAATGGCCGTCCATGGGCGATGCTAAGTAGCTCCACCAACACGCTAACACCAGAAGTGGGCAGAATGCTAACTTCCGCGTACTGTGAAAAAGGTCTATTGATGCCCATATCCTAAATATTTGGTCACATGATCAATTTCTTTGACCATTTCCAAGCAACAGGAGGTGGTTTAACTTACCCTTTGGCTCAACCTTGTGTTCAGTCTACCTTGTGTTGTGTTTTCACAGATCTTTGCTGCTGATGGGAGCTCTCACCTTGTTCGGCAGTGGGATTGGAGCTTATATAATGGTCATGGCTGTGATGAGTCCATGTCCGCTGCTGGTTAATGAGGTTTCCGGCGGGGTCATCATGGTGAGAATTCTGTTTTTCTCTTTATTCGTGTAAAAATTAACGTCTGTTCCCACACAAACATACCTTTCTGTGCTGCTCAGGTGCTGGCCTGGTTCTTCTTCGTCCTCAGCCTGTCGTATGTGAAAGTGATCGTCGGCGTGATCCTCCGAGATGAGGGCCACAGCGCCCTCGTGTGGTTAGGCGCCGTCGTGCAGCTGGGCTCCATGCTGGGAGCCGTGACCATGTTTCCTCTGGTCAACGTTTACAGCTTCTTCACATCAGGAGACATGTGCAACACAAAATGCCCTTAAAGAAAGAGGTCACACAGAAAAGACTGGACAGAAAAGAACAGGAAGCTCTTAAAATGTGATATTTACGTGATATAATCTTTGTTTTGTAGATAATTGTTATTTTGGTAACACTTTACAATAACCACAACTTATAAATGGTAAGCAGATAGTTTATTAATGTTTAATTATCATTTATAAAAAGCATATTTACCATTAACAAATTGTAAATTTTACCATTTTAAAACCCTAAATCTAACTTGACAAAAACCATCTAAGTAATGTTTATAGATGGTTTAAAAAACAAATATTAACCATTCACAAAGTGCTACTGACACACATTTTTACAACTAATATTTAAACCCTATATAAACCTTAATTAAACAGTCCACTAATAATCATAGCTTTATTGCTTGTTTATGGTAAAGTAACTATTAACTTACATTAAAAAAACTATCTTTTTACCATTTATAAATTATGGTTACTGTAAAATGTTGATTCCTTTCTTCTGAAATCTGAGTCTGTCACAAGAGAACCACAGTAAAACAGGAAATATTGAATGTCAGAGTCAACCATGCTGCTTTAAAAACAAAGGTTACTTTGCAGTTGTGTGAATGAATATATATTTCTATGTGATTAATACTAACGGTTGCTGTTCTCTCAAAGAATAAAGTCTTTGAGTTTTACCTCAACAGCAGCAGCCAAAGTGGCTTTTTTTATAATGTTCATGTACGACTAATAAACTCATACTATAGCTCAGTCTGCAGTCTTAATGTCACCTTTACTCTCACTGTTTTTAATCACACGTGAGCTTTTCCCCAATTTTCTTTTATTTATTTACAAAATCATCACATCAAACAAGCAAGCAATCCAAACTTATCAAACATACGGTTAAGTTTAGAGAATATAAAACAGAAACCCCCAAAGTTACTAAAGAACTGCATGAACATCTTATTTTACACGCTGGATCGACCGAACAAAGCTGAACAGTCAGGAAATTTTACATCATCACATTTTTAGGAATTTTCTTTAAATTAATTCAATATGAAAAATAAGAAACATGTTAGTATAAAGTAAAAAAACAGAAGCATGCAGGGCGCAGGCTGGAAAAGTGGTTCAGGTCCCAGTTCTCATCACTACAGTCCTCAGGGTGCTTTACTCTCTCATGTCCATGACTATTTTTATTTTGAATGTAACTCTTCATTAAATAAAACAAGTTTCTTATTTTTGGCTATTAGACTCTGGGATTCTCAGTTAGTGAGACTGCTTTCACCCAAAAAACGAGCATGGTTAATTATAAGAGCAGGACGTCAAAGCCAATACCCCCAGCTTGAACCAGGATTCAGTGATCAGTTTAGTGGTTTTTCTTTAACCCTAGAACACTATTGCTAAAATTAGTAACACCATCACTATCACCGGGTGATTTTTAACTGAAATAATATACCCAAGAAAAATTACTTGTCATCAAAATGTAGGACAAAACATGACAAATTAAAGTAGATTTCTTTAATATTTAACTGTGCAACGTCCAAAGGGAGGGAAAAAAAGCACAAACTGGTTTCCGCGCCTGTTTGTGTTGTCGAACAATGGTAACGTTTGTCGCATATTGGTCGGATGAACACGACATACAAAAGAGGCCTGGGTCGGATTAGAACAAATCAGAATTGACCTGTTCACACTTAGATGAAAAAATCAGATATGAGTCACAGATGGTTAAAACATCGGAATTGACCTGCAGTGTGAACGTCGACTTAGTTTCTTCTCCACCCATTTCTGGGGCATGTAATTCTCCTGGGTGAAGATTCACAATAACAGCTGCAGGACAGAGAACCAAAATATGGCAGAGTTTGAGTGAGTAAAAATGACCAGCTGACTCCAATATTTCTTATCACCATAACAATTCCCTTGAAAATCTTTACTTAGTGGTAGCATGCAAATTCCAGGACCGCTCTTACTGACCTTATTCACCTACATGCAGCTATCAGATCCACCCAAACCTACTTTACCCTCTATCACTGTTACCGGGTGAAAATCACCCTGTGAACACGTGTCTGTAGGAAAAAGCAGGTTTTGGATCAGGGAAACAAATATGCCTTCAAAGATGTCAAAGCTACCCAGGGATCCATGATACTCAGACAAACGTGTTCTAGGGTTAAGGAGAGGGTCAAAGATTTAAAGTGTTTTCTGGGGTTTTCTTTCTTTTCTTGAAGCAGGGAAACAGCTGCCCTTGGGTGGAGAGGTAAAAGAGCGGATGCACCACACTTGCTGCTGACAGAAAAAATATACAAATAGGTGTTACCATGCATTCATAAATGCGTTCATGGCCATGGGTGGCTTTTTGTATTAAACTAACAGGGCTGTAACATAATATAGTGATGAATGACGTGGCACAGACGGTTCTCAGGGCTTTCTTCTTTACCGGATGGAGCGCGTCTCTCCCTGGGCCGGACTTCTTCAGCTCCCTGGCAATTTTGAAGCTGCACCACGCCATCATGGTAGCCATGATGATCATCAACGCAGCTGGAACAGATCTCAAAACAGTGCTGATGCGCTCAGGGGTAGCGTGCCTGACAAAACAGTTCAGTATAGCAAGGGACAAGGAGATGAGCCACACAGAGCTGGCACAAAACTCCCTAAATCTGTATTTCTTCAGCAGGGGATAAGACAAGGGGTGAATCACAGCGTAATATCTCTCCAGGCAGATAAAAGTCAGACTCATCGGCCCTCCACATTGTACGTACGCAAACAAAAACTTGAGGATTTTCATGTGTTTTTCTGACCGCAGAAATACACTGAACAAATGTAAGATAGACACCAAGTACTGAAAGTTGTGGAAGAGGGCTAAATTCAGGTTCAGGATGTCTGCCGTCTTCTTGGATTTATAGACGATCCACAGCAGTTTGGTGATCACAGGTTGACCCATAAGAAAAGTGACAATATCGATCAGTGCGTACGCTGTAAGGTGATGTGACTCCATCTTACAGCCTCGAGCTGTACTGCGGTTATATGTGCCGTTGTTGAATGCAACCTCCATCTTTCCAGGCTGGAGTCGGAGCTGACGGAAACAACACCAGGAAGTTGCTGGAGGTGGAAAATGTATAAAAGTTAGTTTTATTCTGAAATACACTACAGTCTGTTCAGATGGTTGCAGAGTTTTTAAAGGGATCATGGTCGAAAAGCTCAAATGCAACATCAACTTTTCAGAACAAGCAAAGTCTGGGACAAGTCTGAACAAACCAGACCAGGACTGTAAACAATAACAATCACATTATTATTTCATTTTTGCATGAAATTCAAATCGTTTTGCATAATCTATTAAGAGACACAATTAACATTCAATGTTAAGATATTCCAAAAAAACAGCAACTTTGATATTTTGATGCTCTCTATTATCTTCCCAGATTCCACAGATCTGCTCCTGGTCTTCATTAAAATCACCTCAATCCATCAAATGTACATTAATGGTCTATAATAATGATATTTACATCAAATACTCACGGAATCGTGGCTTACCAGGCTCAGATGTTTTAAAGACTGGTCAGCAAAAGGATCTTTAGACTGAGTAAAAAAAACAAAGACACCTTATTTTCCTAAATGATTTACGGCAGGTGCAAATCAGCCGAGCTAAACCCTCAAACTGAGGAGCAACACGCCCTGATTTTCATACCTGCCTCTGTTCAGGTGTGATGTCGAGTTTAGGCCGGGACAAAATCAGACAAGCAAATAACACAGGACGATTAATAATCAGGACGACAGCTGACCCTCATTGATCAATGTGGAGAATCAGGCTGTAGTACCACTTAGAGCCACCAGGTGTCAGTGTGCACCACAACACTACCGAGTCCGTTTGACCTGGGGTCCGTTTCACGTAGCAGGTTTAATGGAAACTCCGAGTTTGTTAACCCTGAAATCAGGGAAACTCTGAGTTTTCCGTTTCACAAAGGAGGGTTAGTTAAACCAGGGAGAGAGGGGTAACTCTAACCTGTTTCACAAAGAGAGGTAACTCAACCTCGCGGTCAGTTACCACAGTAACAGACTCCGTGAACCTAACCTGCTCGGGAGCAGGTTTAACTCAGTAAACCCAGAGTTTCAGGTGAGACATCGGCATTTTCTCATTTTGATCATGTTTTACATTGTCAAGTAAGTATTAAGTGGCAGTTTGATCCCTTAAAAAATGCTCTTTTCACACTCAAAACTGAATTTTACTCTCTTATTATGTTCCGTTAAATGATTAAGAATATTAAACTAACACAAAAACGGGTGGTGGTCCAGCAGCCCCACCTTTAACGGAGGCAGAGGAGCTGCCCCCCCCCCCCCCCCGTTCGACGATCGCGGCCGGTCCGATCGCAAATCCCCCCCACAGACACACACACACACACACACACACACACACACACACACACACACACACGCACACCAGTCCGACGATCGCTGCTACGAGGTGGGGGTTTCGATCGTCGAGGGGGGGGGGCAGCTCCTCTGCCTCCGTTAAAGGTGGGGCTGCTGGGCCACCACCCGTTTTTCTGGCATCTGCCCTCTTTCTGTTTGCTGAGTGAAAGTCTAATATTGAGTGTAGTGTGTGTTAGTTTAATATATGTACATATACATACTGAGAGTTAGTTTAATATTCCTAATCATTTAACGGAACATCATAAGAGAGTAAAATTCATTTTTGAGTGTGAAAAGAGCATTTTTTAAGGGATCAAACTGCCACTTAATACTTACTTGACAATGTAAAACATGATCAAAATGATTCAAGCAGTTTCCCTGCAACAGTCTGTCATTGTGATGGCACGAGACTAGATTTAAAGATACGCATTGACGCAAGCAGCGATTTCCTCCCAAGCCCTCTCCCTCTCCTTTGCAGCTGCTGCTGTATTGCACTTTCTTCTAAAAACGTGCTGTAATTCGCTGTTGGCTTGCTGCTGCCCCCTCCTTCTCCCTGTTTCCATTGGTTGATCATTGAATCTGCGCTCCACAGATGCTGGCTGTTTATGTCTGGCGTGCACGTGCTTAACTCCAGGTCAAACTACTCGGAGTTGTTAAAACCGTCTCAAATCAGGTGTTGTGAAACCGGAAACTCAGAGTTTCCTAACTCAGAGTAGATCAACTCAGAGTTAAGGATTTAACTCAGAGTTTGTTGAACCACCTACGTGAAACGGACCCCTGATCTGGAAAGTGCTGGAAAATTAGCCGTTATAATGTCTTTAAATCACATAGTTTATGGGTTACAGTTACACACACTTCTAAGGAGACAGAAAGGAGATATAAAACATTTTAAACTCGAATGAATTTGAGTTATTTAAGGGTTAAAGCCAAGCTATATAGGCTTGACATATTGTGGCTGACTGATATCAAAGCTAACGCTGTTTAGCTCGTTAGCTAGCTACATGTTTAAAATGTTTGCTTTCTTATGAAGGGATTTTGCTCTCTAATTTACAACTGTACGACTTCAAAACGAAATAAACCTTAACACAAGATAAAAAACCTTCACTTGACAGCAGTTTTGATTGTGAATATATGAGTTGTAAAGCTAATACAGTATCTGTAGACCAGGCAGTTGACAAAGAACTGAAGTTTAACCATGATTGACAGCCTTTGTTAACGGCCCTAGTCAAATCAGAGGAAGGAAATCTATGATATAGAATTCAGTGGCTAGATTGAGTAAAATAAATAAGTCCTAACATCCCAATCATGTTGCTGCTAACTCAATTTTTGGGCACAATAGAGCTTTTACAGTCACTTTGCCAAAGCAAAGAGTCTCTCTTTTCCCATTTTATCTGTATTTCTAAATTAAGCAGGAATCTAAAGTGTGCTAACATTGGCAGGACTGTTAGCTTTAAATATGTCCAGATTTTCACTTTAAAGGGATATTCCGGCATAAAATTAATTTAGGGTCAAACACAACTTAACACCGAGTTAGACACCCCCTCCAGAGATGAATGTTGCCAACCGCTTGCTTCTCTAGTTAAACCAACTTTAGTAACGTCCACATGATAGCAATACACAGCGGTCTGAGGAGCCATAAACAAACCTCAACCAAAATGCCACTCTATAGCCACAAATAATGCCCAGAACAGCACCTAACTTCATCAACAGGACATACAGGGTCACAGACATAGTACTAGACACCAAACATCTTTTTTAACTTTGACTCATTTCTTTAACAAAGAGATTAAACACAACTCACCTACTCTCTTCCAGCAGCCACTTGTTTGTAGCGAGATCTCAGGCCAGACCATTACGGACTGCAGCGGGGTGTCGCAGCTCAAGGAAGAACATTTATGATCATTTCTTCATGGAAATGAGATCAGACCGAGATGCTAAGGCAGAAGAACTACCCCGTCTGCAGATCAAAATGATTAATATGATGATTATTACTTAAAGGAAATCATAAAGAAATTATATGGAATATCCCTTTAAGGCTCCTAATCTTCACTCTTGTTGAATCAAAGTAGGTTCTGGGTCATTAACAGATACTTAATACTGTATTTTAATAGTTTTGATTATAAAGCGATTAAGACTCGGATCATTCAGTGACAGAGATGAAGGCGTATTTATTGACAAAAACACAAAATAAGGTCACAAAGCAGAATTATGAGCTGTAGACTAACAATCTCCTCAGTAAACATTTCAGTATGGCTTCTTTCAGGCCCTTCAGTTACATGGATTAAGACTCATAAATACATATAAAACCTATTCAGTTTTGCTATAATGAACAAAGGAGTAGATAAACCACAGTATGTAGGTAAGCATGTAAAAGAAGACTGATGATAAACATGGATAAAAAGAGCACATGCTAAGAGAATAAATACAAAAATTAAAGAACTTATACATATTTGTATTGCTGTTCATCGCTGCTCTTTGGATGAGAAACCTTCTCATTTGCATTGGTGATTGTTTACATTCTTTAAGAGGCTGATTGAGAACTGCATGTTGCATAGCGTCCAGGGAAAATCAAGCTGAGATGAGTTTTTCTTTGATACAAATCAAGTTAAAATGACTAAAACTGTAGCCAGCAGTTCACTCCAGAGTTAACCTAACTGTAAAAGAGACACAAAAGGACTCTGCAACCTTCGACTCGGTTTTATGAACTGGTAGAGTTTAGTGAAATGAGAAACTCTGCCCAGTTTGGTAAGTTTTACTTTAATCAAGTACAGTTTTAGTTAAACTTGTAAAAATCGAAGGTTAAAAACTTTCCTGTGGGGTTTGTTACTGGAGCTTTAAGGCAGATGGCCGTCGAGGAAGATTCAGGAAGTGTTCATCTTGTGGAAACAGTTTGTTCTTTGTAAATTATAGGGATGAGCGGGTTGAGTTGACTTAACGAATAAACGTGGTCAGTCTTGCTCATCAGAACCAGAATTATTCTTCAACTCTTCAGCTGCTAAATACACTGACCCATTTTGACGTTTTTCTCTCCCCTAGTCTGCTTGTTGGAAACGCAGAGAAATTACTGTTGATGTTTTATGGCCCAGTGTAAATTATAAAGTTTGATTCTCGTTGCTTTTTTATGTTAGCTAACTAGGCCTTACTAAATTGCTTTTAACTGTAAAACTCACACTGCTAAGCCAGTTAGCTGACCTGCTGACAGTTCTCTACTCGTGCTGCTGGTACTTTACAAAACATTTTTCTAAACAAGCCAGTTGAAAAGAAAAAAGTAACATTTCATATATAATTTTGAAGCTGAACATGTGAAACCAAGCCGAGGCCGCGTTTCTGTATCCAGTTAAAAAGGCACTTTTCTGTCAAACGTCCCAATGTTAAACCAGATATGCAAACTGAAGCACTGCAGGTACTGTATATACAAATAACAGAACTCAGAGGCACTGTATCATTTACAAACACACATACGAAACAAATGTTTGGTCCTCTAAAAGCATACTTTGCTGTCAGGGTTTTGGGATGGCAGGTTTGGTTGCTACATTTTTCATTTACATATCCTCAAAAGTCAGTCATATGTAAGATGGTGTAAAGGCGTTATATTCAAAAACAAGGCACGTGTTGGACCCTGGTCATCTGGACAATACATCGACATTTGTTCATGTTGCATTTCCTTTTGCTGCTTCCTGCATGCTGAAGTCCGAGCATGAGAAGCATAGAGTCCATTCTTGTCTTGGTCTTTCCCTTTTTTTTTTTTTTTCTGGTTTCCTGCAACGTTTAAGGTCATGACAGGAAACTACGCATGGCTGTGGACGGAGATGCTGGAGAGGTCGTTCCTGATGATCTCGTTGACTGCAGGAGAAAAAGAGAAACAGACGGTTTACTTTAAATTTGGAAATTGCAAACGTTTTCCTGCATCGCTTTTTGTCATTAACTTTGGCCGTAGCAGTCAGCTTTAAGGTGCCATTTTCAGCCAGAGTGAAAGCAATTCTCCGAGCTCTATAGGAGCTGTTGTTTCCTCTGAGTCATCCTAATAGAATCACACTCGGCTATATCTCTGATCCCCAGACCCTCTTTTTTTTATTCATCAGGAGAGATGATGCAACCTCCTGCTGTCTCTGCAGGATCCAGGTGCACTTGTTTATCTGTTTTTATCAGCTGTGTTCTTTGCTGACGTGGGAGGGAGGAGGTGATCCAAATGCTTCTGAGTATTCTGACCGAGAATAGAAAGATAGAAATGACCTGATAAGAGGGAGAAGAAGAAAAAGTCTCTTATTCCTCTTCATCCCTTTCTAATAACCTCCTTATTTCTAAAAATCAGCCTTCAGGTTTCAGGATCAGGCCTTTTTCTTTCAGCTCTCACACAGATGAGAGAGGCTCAGAAGAAAAGGGGAACACCCCTGGAGCCAGCCCCAGGAAAGCCAGCCAACCGGCCGGGGGAAGGAATTCCCTCTGACTCGCTGGACGCTGGAAAAGCAGCCTGGAAACCTGAGATTCCCCCTCCACACAATGGAATTACTTTTTTTCTTTCTTTCAGACGTTTATTTTCATCACAGGCAGCAGAGCAGGCCTCCCCTCTGTGACCCAGCACTGGTAGAGCTGCTTCCTACCAGAAACACCCCTCACTTCCCATCGCTGAATAAAGGCGACTGAGTCTACGTGCTTGGCAAGAGATCTACAACAATGAGCCTGGAGCTTTCTCCACGTGTGCAGGAAGCCTCCTCTGTTAAAAAACGGTGCATATAAATGTGTCATAATCACCTTAAAGTTGGCAAAATAAATGGATAAACTTTTGTTCTTCTGAGACGATAAGTCTCCAAAATCCTGAAGCTGCTCATGATTACAGGCGGAGCACGGAGCGATTTGTTAGACATGAAGTTTATGTGTTTGGCTCGCCGATCGACTCGCTGCTATTAATAAAGGAACAGAAAGATCTCTGGAGAGGTTCTGATAACGACAGCGCAGCAGTGATCTCACATCAGAGTGTCACACAAACACAGGGACACACTGAACCTATTACAGAGCTACGAGGACGACGGGATGAGAGCCACCGCCGTGAGGAAGAAACTCGTCAAAACAGCTCTGACGTTTACGCTCAGGAGATCCAAATCATGTAGTTTGGATTGAACAGAGGACCCATCCTTAAAGGGGCATTTCAACAATTAAAAACAACCAATAAAATGTAAAGTCACTTATTTACAAGGTTTGAAAAGCCTGAACTCCAGCATCATATCTGTAGGAGCCAAAATATAAATGTTAAAAGTTTTATTTCTAAAAGGTTTGTCACCTCCGGGGTTCGTCACTGTGGTTTTGGGATGTTTGGCGGTTTATTTAAATCTTACTGCTGTAGTCAGACATCAGTTGTGGTAAGCTCTGATAATTTTCTGTTGACCGTTTTTCATCATTTCATTCATCCTGTTTTAATCTCATTTCAGCACATTACTTACTTTGGACCCTGATCATCATGTTTTCTTCCCTTTTTTATACTCAAACCGGACTAATAATCGAACGAGTCACAGATGCAAGCGAACCTAAACCCCTAAACCCCTTTTTGTCGAAGGAAAGCAGTCACCACAATATCTGTAATTTCTTACAACCCTTTGCTGCCCTTTAAAAGAACCGAACCTGTAGTTTTATTTCTTATTGCCGAGTTTTAACTCTTCACTCTCACAACAATTAATACGTTTTTCTCAGAAATGTGACTTTGAAATCTCTGCAAGTACTAAAATCTGCACTATGAAGTAACTGGATTTGCATCATTAATTCTGCAGCATGTTGGATGTTAATGAGGTTTTTTGTTGTTGTTGCTTTTTACTGCACTTTTTTTATTTGCACATTTATTTTAGACTTTTATTCTTGATGTTGTTTTCCTATTTTTGCTAAAAACTCAAACACCTAGACTCTTCTTACAGATATCCTCTCACTCCGTTTAAAGTCCATCATTATAAATGTAGAATTAAGTGATTTTTATTCTCAGCAATATCCTGATATAAGACAAAGAACGCCCCGGCAGTGAGACTTTCACTTCCGCTCACTGAGGACACAACAGTTACTGTTTATGGGTCCGTCGTCATGGCCCACTTTTCACCGCGCTGTCACTTTTGAAGGGGAGGGTCTAATTGAAAGAGAAGTCAATCTATTGATCTCTAAATGTGTTTACAATAAAGTCCTAAAAATAGAGGCAGCACCAGAGTGACATCTGTGCCGTGAGCTCACATCGATCAGCTGAGGAGGGCGAGGAGTGACAGAGACGAGCCGACAGCAGAGAGCAGGACGACTGAGTTCATTCAGAAAAAATGGACTGATGCTGGGCAGAACACGAGGAAAATTAACGACTGTTTTAGTTTCATTATGTACGTAAAAGTCGACCCAAAACTCATATGAGCTGAAACAATTCTTTTCCTAATTAAAGCTGCTGTAAGGAGCTTTTGGTTTGTGCTGATTTGGCGCCCCCTGTGGACAAAATGATACTTTTTATCTCCCCCAACCCAAAATGCCAGCTGTCAATCATCTGATCGAGTCAGGTTAGAGAGTCACAATCGGAATGAGTGTTCACATGGACGGGTTTCGGAATAACCATCGACATAAACCAGCCCTCTTGATCGGAACACAATTTCTTTCCGATTGATCAGAATCTTTGAATCAACATGTTTACGTGACGCATTTTTATTCCAATCAGGGCTTTATTCCGATAATTTGTGCCCATGTAAACGCAGCTAGTGTCTTTAATTTTAAACTTTTGTAATCTGAACTCAGAGCACTGAGGTATTCGGGGGTTAATTTGTTGGAGTGGGAGCAGGAGGGTGTGGTCTGGTCTGACATGAACTAAGTAATCCAGAAACTGGATTTCCTGCCTCATGGAGGTCCACAGCAGCTGGGGTGGACTGATACAGTCCGACTCTGCAGCCAGGAAACCCCAAACAGACGAGGAACTCCCAAACAATTAGCAGGAGAGCGCTGTTTGCCTCGTTATGGGCAGAAACGCGTCAACGTGATCCGGCCTGTAACAACACAATACTACAGAGGAAGTGATCAGGTGGGGAGGTATTTAACAACCTCTCTGCAGGCTGTGAATTAAACAGCTGAGGGAACGGAGCTGAGACAACTGAGGGGGGGCAGAAAACACCAGAACACCCCCCCTCCCTGTTTGCTGCCACGTCAAGAACAGGCCACAAGCCACGAGATGTTCTTGGCCCAAATAATGAGGCTCCGACTGGGTTACTGCAAGTCAGTCTCACAGAGACGTCCTGGAGTTCACCACGGACTCAGACGACTTTTTTTAACCCAGGTTATATTTCAAAAAGAAAAACGGACAATAGTATTTTGTTCAACCGAGGAAACAGACGAAGAGAATACAAGGGAGGAGAAAGCCTTTAGCAAAACATGACCGCGATATTCTCCCACACGCTTAGAAACCAACGATCCCAACATTCTCTAACGACTGACCTCTTTGAAACTTTGTTCACTCACAACTCAGGTGGTCCAAAAATAAGCCCATGGATCTAAAACAGCTGTCCAGAGATGACGCAAAATCAGAAACGCAAGGAGGGAAGTCCAAAACAAATGCAAGAGCACAACCAATCTGCAAACAGTCAATCACCGAGTGCAGTGGAGTTTCGCAGCTCAAGGAAGAACTTTTATGATCATTTCTTTATGGAGATACAATCAGACCGAGATGCTAAGGCAGAAGAACTACCATGTCTGCAGAGCAAAATGATTAATATGGTGATTTTTACTTCAAGGAAATGATAAAGAAATGATCATTAATGTTCTTCCTTGAGCTGCGTCACCCCGCTGTAGTCCGTAATGGACTGGCCTGAGGTCTCGCTACAAACAAACGGCTGCTGGAAGAGAGTAGGTGAGTTGTGTTTAGTCTCTTTGCTCAACAAATTAGGCAAAGCTAAAAAGATGTTTGGTAGAGTGGCGTTTGTTTGTGTCCTCAGACCGCTGTGTATCGCTATAGTGCGGTTGTTACTAAAGTTGGTATAACTAGAGAAGCAAGCGGTCGGCAACATTCATCTCTGGAGGGGGTGTCTAACTCGGTGTGTTTGACCCTAGATTAATTTACATCAGAATATCCCTTTAAGAACAGAGGCCCCCCTTTGAAACCTGTGGTGAAGCAAAAGATTAAGCTAATTAATGTGCATTAGATCAATAAAGTCTGTACTGCATGTAGGAAAATCAGAATTTAAAAAAAAGCTGATCATTGGTTCCCACTAAAACTGGAACATCACGGTTGAAGTCCGTCTGAAAAAATCCATCACACGTTAAAAACACAAACCGGTGTCAAACATTGCTTCATTTTTCAAGCTGTGGCTGCGAATAATTTAAGGAGCAAAGTGAGATTTTCGGGACGTTCCTCTGCCAGGTATTAATCACAAGTTCACTCAAATTCCTGAAGGTCTCTGCTCATCAATCGTGCAGCCCTGACATCTAACAAGGCCACAACACGCCATAAAAAAGCCTTTTGTAATGCTCCTTGGCTGAAGTCTGACTTCAAAATGCACATGTTTTGCTCATGTTACCTCACCGCTGACCAAAGTCTTCGGCACACTACCGTGCAGAATAACGTATGGCTTTGGCTCGGTCCGCCAGACTCTCCGAGCCAAAGGGGAGCATGCAAACCCCTGCAGTCAGCAAGTTTTATGGCAGCATGGCTGGCCTCCATCTCCCTCAGCCTCAGCAGTCCTGGAGTTCAGATCGTGCTTTCTCTGCAGCCTATAGCCCCAGCTCCGGCTCGGGGCCAGGCAGCACTGTTCAGACTTTCCATGAGCAGACATGTTTGTAACCTCTCTCGGGACTGTGTTAAAATGTGGAACGGCGAGGGGTGTTGTGGCGAATACAAGAGGGCTGAATAAACAAAGATATCAGCTCCGATTTCAGACAACAGAGCGATGACAGAGCCTGGGTTTGAGATCAGAAACATCCCGCTGTCATTTTTATTTATGAGCAGGGCTGGTCCTAGTGGGGGGCTCAGGGTGGCAAGGCCCAACAGTTTTGTCACATCGAAACTGCCGTCACTTCTACAGCTCTTAACTTTTTTCTTTTTAACGATAAGAAAGTTTTGTCTTTTTTAGGTCCAGGTTTTGTGAACTACGGGAGAGGGGTGTGTCGAATACAGTGAGGTGATTGGATGGAGAAATGGAGCAGGAGATTGACCAATAGGAGCTGTCCGTGACGGATGGCTCCCATTGGTCAATTATTTTGCAGCCCTGCACCTGCTAGGGTGAACAGATTTTTTCTATTCTTTTTTCTCTTCACTTTGTGGAGATCGCACTATAGGACCATGATCGCCATAGAAACGAGGTTCATAATAATTACCAATCTCTCCAATCGTCAACCATGACTTTAAAATTAGGCTGTAATGTTGTTTAGCGTTTATGTATGGATTCAAATGGGAATTGACTCACTTTCAGACCAGCCCCCAGTGGCCACTTTAAGAACTGCAGTTTTTGTTCTTGCTGCCTTGTTTCTCTTCCTCCACAGTTTCATCAGGTTCATAATAATTACCAACTTCTCCAATCCTCAACTAAGTCTTTAAGAAAGTTTTGTCTTTTTTTAGGTCAAGGTTTTGTTAACTTCCCGATTTCCTACCAACGTGTTCACGCTTTTCATCTCTCCGATCATGAGAAGTTTGATTTTATTCAGACTGGGTTTAAGAGTGCAGTTTGAGACGCCATATTAAAAATGACTCAAATGAACTTTTTCTTAAGCTAACATCTGCGCTCCTTCAAATTAATAAAATTTAACGTTGATTCTCGATTTCTGCTAATAATCTTAAAATGACTTTAAATTCCATATAAATTTAATGAGAGTTAACGTCTCAGCTCCTTAAAAGTCTCAGGTGTCCTCGTTTGTGTTTTAATGACCACGGCTGACATAAAATGACCGTAACGCCACACCTGAGCGCGGTCGTAAACAGAAAAAGACGAATCAAACTCTGCCAAAGATTTTAATGACGTGAGAGGTTATATGAAGTCTGGAATGCTTTGCAAAAATTTCCCTCAATCCGCCAAAGAAAACAAGTGTAATTGGGGCGCCGCGCTCCTCAGAAACATCCGTGATGGTTACAGCGGTTGGTTTGAAACACAGGTTTTTTACGACTTTAATAACACCTGGTTTGTAGCTGAGTGGAGGCGGCACCGCTGAGAGAATAATTACCAATCAAATCTCACTCTTAAAGGCCAAGTATCCCCGCAGACAGCGCTAACAAGTGTTAATGTATTTACCCAGACTGTACAGAGGAAGTGGCATGGGAACAGTCTGAGTCCTGCAACAACAGAGTCTCACTCGCCGTTGTCAGGAAACTGGACTAGACGATCCGGTGGGGGCTCTGGTGAGGGATCAAAGTCCTGCAGCTCTGTCCACTGATAGCTGCTGGTTAGTGTTTCTTCATCTGTTTGCACACAGCCAGGGAGTGTTTTCTCTTCCAGCCAAGAGGAAGATCATTTATCCAATTTATTTCAAATCACCGCAGCTCAGACCGCAGCGGCCCCTGAACCTCAGCGGCGGTGAGCAGAGAGGGGCCGCAGCGGTGAGATCATAAAGTTAGTGCTCCTAAAACTCGGCTCCGTCAGAGATAAATAAAGGGGTCACAAAAACCGGCAGTGATTTTATCAGGGAGGTTTCACAGGCCGGTTTCTCTCTGGGTTTAAAGCCTCACAGTCTATCAAGCAGAGGACCACCGAGCGTCTGTGAAAGAGAGCTGAACAAAAACCACACGAGGAAGAAAATCTGTCAGATGAGTCTCCTTTTAAAGTCATGATAGCGCCCTCTGCTGGTCAGAGTTCACAGATGTGTGCACACGACAGTGTTGCCAGATGGGAAATGTAGATTTATCGTACCACAGACTCAAAATTATCGTATTTATGGAAAAATTATCGTAGTGTCCAACAGAAACTCACGATTTTGTTGCTACAGTTTTGCGGTCACCCCCCCCTTGCCCCACATCAGCAGCTCCAACTCAGCTGTGTTACACTCAAGCGTTCCCTTTAAACAAACGACAGGTGGGAACTAATGAGTCAAATCACAAGACCTTGAGGCCACCTACTTTTCTACTTTTTTGAAACCGCATTCATAACAACTGACAAGGAAATAAAGAGTTTCTGGAAATTTCCACCACATCCAGAACGACCACGACAAGGCTGTACGGCTACACAAATAAAAAACTGAAAAAAAAAGTGTCTGGCTGACCGAGACAGTCCTGTTACACCACACATTCACAAAACTGCGAAACTGTCAAATTATCGCACTTTTAGCCTTCTTTCTGGGTTATTGATCGTACAGAGGGCAAAATTATCGTACAAATACAATAATTATCGTACACCTGGAAACCCTGGCACACGACAAACATGATCGTTTTTATGGGACTTCAGAGGAAACCCGTGACGTTACATCATATAAAGTGAAGAAATACTCGAGTACGTGAACTCGGCAAAACCGTAACAGTCTGATGTCGAAATTATGAGTTCGATGATAAGGTTTAGAAGAGCAGCGGTGCATCTTTTCCAACTGTCTTATAGAGGTTAAAGCGAGGCGAGCTGTTACCCCCAGAGACAAAATCACGAAAGAATATTCAACTATTCCCAAAAACGAGGACGGGTCAAATATCTTTCATCAAACAGAATCATCAAGTCCAAAAGTTCAGCTCCTGGTGAAACGATCAGTGAGTCATATGATATTAATCAAAAGTCCCATCAGCACCTGTAGATATATTCATGCTGGAAGGTTACAAACCTTTGTGTTTTGTCAGTTAAGGACACAGACAGTTTTGTTCCCCGTCTAATTATTTCCATGAAGAGAATCAAAATCTGATGCAGGTTAGAAATGACTCGACTGTGTCGGCCAGCTCCTTCAGGTGAAGGTCAGACGCTCGCTGAGAGCTGTTTTTTCTCTTAGAGGGATTTCTTTATCATTTTTGTTTCTGTGAAATTTAACTGTATTATAAAACTCAGAATCATCATCAGAGTGTTTTAAAGGGATATTCCGGAATTAATTTAGGGTCAAACACACCGTAACACTGAGTTAGACACCCCTGTTTGGTGGCTGGTGGTTTGGTTTGTTTTGGCTGAGTTTTGTTTATGGCTCCTCAGACCGCTGTGTATTGCTATCCTGCGGTCCTTACTAAAGTTGGTATAACTAGAGAAGAAAGCGGTCGACAACATTCATCTCTCTCCGGGTGTCTGACTCAGTGTTCCAGTGTGTTTGACCCTAGATTAATTTTACGCCAGAATATCCCTTTAAGATGATAGAAACGGTCTCACTCACCATCGTCGAGGTACACCTGGTCCAGCTCCTGCGGTTCTTGTTTGATGCTGACGGTCAGCGCAGGTGGGCTGCTCCCGCCCTCCTGAAGGCCGTCCCCGCCGCTCTCTGACACCTTAGGGCTGGCGCTGCCGCTGACCGGCTGGGCCCCCGTCACGCTGAGAGTCGGGGTGAAGGGGGCGTCGGTCGGAGTGGACGGCTGCGAGGTCGGGGAGGAAGAGGAGGAGCTGCTTGGAGGGTAGAGACCGGGTGTCTGGAAGCGCCCGGGCGTCTCCTGAATGATGGAGACATGAGAGATGGGGGACGGTTGGACCACCGGGGCCGCAGGGAGGCACTTGGAGAAAGGCGATGGCGACAGGTCGTGCAGTTTGGGGCTGGCGCTCGGGGAGGTCGAGGAAGGCAGCGGTGAGGGCTTGGCTGCAAGTCTCTGCTGACTGATAGAGTAAGCCCCGCCCACTACACATGGTCTAGGGTCAGAGGTCATTATGGGGGTCATGACCTGAGGGGGGAAGTATGGCTTTGGGAGCAAGGACAACCCCGGAGTGTGCTGTCCACACACAAGAGGGGTGTCGAAGTCGTCATGTGGCTCCGTCTTTATTGTCGGAACTGAGAGGGAAAGAAAAAGAGGAGAGGACACTACATGAGCGAACAGATATTCCAACTGTCCTGAGAGGGCGAGCGGTGGAGCGAGTGGGTTTGTGGCTAGGAAACTCACCGCCAAACAAACACTCTCATCAATGAGCCTCTGTGTCTGAGCTGAGCTCTCCCACCCGCCTCCAAATATTCACGAAAAAGCAGGAAAAAAAAAAAGAGGAGGATGACTCATCAACACCAGAAACATCCAGCTGCTCCTATAATGAAAAGCTTGTTTGCTTTGGATCCTGCTCTGCTGCTAATATCCACTAAATGTGAGATATGAAATATGTTGCTGTAACAGCAGCTTCAGACTCAGCAGGGGTCGGCGATCTAAAATAAATTACTGTTTGCTCAATAAGACAAAGAAAATCGACACACAGAGTCAAGATGTTTGTCTGAAAAAGACAAAACGAAAGCTTCGGGGTGTTTGAGGAAGATGGTTATCCTCTAATATGGACCGCTGCGGAGTTTAAACGAGGCAGGACTTGTTCACAAACATCGGCCCGCCAGATTCCAGCGACGGATAACAAGATTCAAAATGTGGGTTGTCAATCTCCTGTGGCTCCTGACACGACATCCATCTTTTATGAAGAGTATTTCAGTCCAGATCCAGGCGAACAAAATCCCCCGAGCTGACCCCGAGCATCACTGAACTGTCCTTTATTCGTGTCCAAGCTGCTTCAGATTATCACACAGAGCCTCTCATCCTTGCTGAAACATAAAACTCCTACTCCTCTAGTTTAGTTGTCTTCTTATTTGCTTTAGATTGACTCTGATTCCAGGAACATCAGGATAATTCGTTCTCCTTGTTTTACCTTTTGGTGTTAACTCTGAAAGTTTTGGAAATACGGAGTTTACGCCGAGTCAGACCACACATTTGAACCGTTAAGGTGTCTGTAACCATGAGGTGAGTCACAGTCAAGGAGACAGCTGGGACGCCTCAGGACCTGCTGACAGGATGTTTGACTTTTCTCTCCGCCGTCTACCACACGCACGCCAGTGACTGAGCTCACTTCAGTCAAGGTCCAGATTCTGGTTCTGGTAATACTGTGAGTTAAGTGTTTACATGCACAACAGAGGGCTGAGCTACTGGAAGATTCCTGTTTATAAGATAATCAGCACATCCTGAGCAAACTCGTGATGAACAGTCATGATTTATGTTTTATATCTGAATGTAAGGTCGTTTTTATTGACATGGTGGAAAAATTAATTATGAATTCTTTCTTTTTATTGCTGTAGGACCATGTACATAAAACTATGTTATTATTTTAGCAGTTATAAATCCAAGAGAACCCTCATTCACTTCCTCACCACTGACAGGAAATATTACTTTGGTATTTTATTATATGTTTAAAGTTCGATGTTATTGTGTTATGTAAATAATCAATAATTTCAGAGTTATCTAAACTATGGTGCTTTTGCTACTTAATCATCATCTAAATTTAGATTTCGTTTGTCCACGAAATGTAAAATTTTAACCCAGCAGAGTTAAAAGAAACTAACCCACCAACATGACCGGTCATGACTTAACGAAAGGCAACGTAACATAAGATAACATAATGTAAATTAACGTAACGTAAGACAACGCAACATAAGGTAACATAATCTAAAATAACTTAATCTAAAATAACATAATCTAAAATGACGTAATTTAAAATAACGTAATCTAAAATAATGTAATCTAAGATAATGTAAAGTAACGTAACAAGAGATAACATAATCCAAAATAGCGTAATCTAAGATAACATAATCTACAATACCACAATCTAAGATAATTTAACGTAAAATAACGTAACTTAAAAAAACATAATTTAGGATAACATAATCTAAAATAACATAATTTAAGATAACGTAACATTAACTAACGTAATGTGAGACATCTTAACATGAGACAACTTAACGTAAATAAATGTAAAGTAAGACTTAAATTGAGACAGCGTAATGTAGCGTAATGTAACAAAATGTAACAGAAAGCAACTTAACATAAGATAATGTAAAGTAAAATTACATAACCTTAGATTATGTTATGTAAAATAATGTAATTTTGGAAAATGTACTATAAGATAACGTGACATGAGACAAGGTAACGTAAGACGACGTAACGTAAAGCGACCTGTCATGAGATAATGTAAAATTACATAACGCTAGATTATGTAAAATAACGGAAGATTAGACAATGTAACATAAAACGACTTAACATAAGATAATGTAACAAAATTACGGAACCTTAGATCATGTAAAGTGAGATAACATCATTTTAGGTAATATAACATAAGATAACGAACCGAAAAATTACATGACATTAGATTATGAAATGTAAGATAACGTAACATAAGTGTACTAAGCAGCAAATGTAATCTCTGCTTGTCTTCTTGCATAAATATCAAAATAAAAAAACTTTAAAATGTAAAAGATCTTCAATAAGCGATGCATTAGGGAGGGATCTAACCATGCAGTCAGATCTTTACTCTGTTTGGTCTTCATAGTCCACCAGGTCTTACCTCACTGAACACGTTTCTAATTACAGCTAAAGAGTGAATCCAGGATGTGTCATGCCTTACTGAAGCTTCAGCTGTAAAAGAGGAACTGCGAGGAGATGGTTTCACCAACCACAGAGCTAAAATAGCACACGCAGCACTATTTTGGGCCTGTTTGGAGGAAGTGCGTCTGCTCTGCTTGCCTGCGGAGGATAGGCAGATGCAGACACTTCGAAAGAAGCAGGAGAAGAAGAAGTGCAAATGTTTGTGCTGCAACAGAGGACACTTTGTTTGGGCGGGTTTCCGGAGTGTGAAATCAGCCGAGTGTGTCCCAGAATAATCTGCTGTTTTTCTGCAGGAGGTGTTGAGACACCTGAAACTTCATTTTCATCAGACTTGACTCTTCGTCAGCTGAGTTTTTATTTTTCAGGATTGATTTGTTGTTGTTGTTGAAAAGAAGTTTGAGCTGTGATTCTTTTGTTTCCCGGATAAAGACTGCATTTCCCATGAGCACCTTCACCTATGGTCATAAATACAGTATGTAACTCTTGTGAAGAACCCTCAGGTGGAAACCATAACAACAGGAAGTTTAAGAAAGGTTTCCAGTTTGACTCAAGTTCATTTGCTAACATGGAGGAGGTGGAATCTAGTACTTATACTGTCTGCCAGCCAGTAGGGGGAGCTCTAAGTATTTTGGCTTTATAGTCGGTCACACATCAAATTATGTTAATCGACATTTTACTCTTCTTGTCGTAGAGCTTCTTCAACGACAACAATACTGTAACAGGAAACATGGTTTTACTAATCTCAGTTAAAAATCAGCCATGAGTTCAAAACAGGATGTGAAAGAAAAAAAAAACCACCTTTTTGCTAATTTTAACAGCCAAGTCAGTCAGCGTAAATGTGACCCAAACAGACTCTTAATTCAGACCAGATGATCTATCATGTTCATAATCTTAATCATCAAGAAGAAATCCAAACTGAACCCTTTTCTGAATCTGTGAAAAACTCCTTACTGCGCCTTTAATCAAAGGAGCAGGACGAACTAAAACACATCATTCCAAGCACACACTGTGATGTTTTTTCAAGCTGAATATTTAATCCAGCGGTTCAGGCACTGCGCCCTCAGAAAAATCTGTTTGGATGATTTATTTTCCATCTTATTTAGTTTATAAAAATATTTGGCTCCACTTTATCTCATCATCTTTGTTTCCATCTCTGTCTTCGTCTCAGAGATGGTTCTGTCTGCTCTCAAGTGCTTTAATAATTTTCTATAATAAAGAAGTTTGGGCTGAAGTTTTCTAATAAAAGGTGCGTGTGATGTAAAAAGCAGGAAAACTTGAATCTATTTATGGAAATATTGAACCGATCTCAGTCCTTTTCCATCTGCAGATCTTTCTCACAGACGGGGCAGATCATCTTGAACTTCAGACTCTTCAGACTCTCTGAGACACTGACCAGACGAGCTGTCCCCCTTCCTCACCCTCTCCCTCACCCTCTCTGCATCCTGAGGACAATGCTCCACTTTCACAGCGGGGCACCCGCTCGCCCACGTACAGGGCTGGGTCCGCTCGCTTAAATCGCAGCTTTGAACCACCCACTGGATTTTCGCTCTGAGCCCAAAACGCAATTAGCAGCGGTTTTTACATTTCAGTCGCTCGGTCAGTGTTTATATTTAGCTTGGCAACAGGTTCTCTATTCAAATAACATGCTTTTCCCATGCCCCTCTCCTCTCCTCTCCCCTCCCCGCCCTGCTGCTGCTGCTGCTGTCCACTCTCTGCAGCTACAGGTATGGAAAAGAACAGATTTTATGGATTTTCATTTTACAATGGAGGGGTAATAGAGTTGCTTTGTTCCGCCCTAGAAAACCACGAGACAAAAAGGAAAACAAACTGTTTGTTCTCCTCTTCAGATGTAAAACGGATGGTTAAAATGCTCCCAATTAGTCTGAGTACATATGGAGGGAAAAGGCCGACGGAGTGAGAGCGGTGAAGTGCTGCGGTGATCACAGGAGAGGAAAAGAAAGGCGGAGGAAGAAGGGATGGACTGATGCAGGAGATTCTCCTGTTTTAACATCTTTGAGACCTGCTTGTGATTATTTCCCTAAATCTTACTCTAAGGGAAGTCAAGCTGTTTTAAACTTTTTTTCTCAGATTTTTGGGTCTTCTTCTTCTTCTTCTCGTCCTACCCCTTCGGACAAACAACCAACTTGGGGGGACAGAGCCTTCTCCGTTGCCGCTCCCACTCTCTGGAATTTACTCCCCGAACCCATCCAAGACTGTACAGACCCCCATACTTTCAAAACACTCCTAAAAACCTTTTTAAATTGGCTTTTAACCTGTAAACCTTTCTTTTATTGTCGTCTCATATTGTGTCTTTTTTAACCTCCTACATTGTTGGTTTTATCGCTCAAAATTTTCTGTATTTTAAATTGTTTTTTATTGTATTTTATTCTTTTTTTTTGTAAGGTGTCTTTGAGCACCTGTTAAAGCGCGTTATAAATAAAATTTATCATTATTATTAAATCAACAAATTTACAAAAAGTTATAAAATCGCCTGTTTATTTTTAAAGCTCCAGTGAGGAGTTTTTTGGTGATCATAAAAAAGACAGAAATGAAGTTTTTATGATTTATGAAAACAAACAAGAACACAGAAACCAGAACGATGAGTTTGTATTGTGATTTTTGATGCAGAGAGTAAGTGTTAGAATCAGAGAGGTAGATTGCTCTGTGACAAACTAAAGTCCCTTACAGGAGCTTTAATATAAAAGAGGAGGAGGAGGTCTTTATTTACCATTAGCGGGGACGTAGGTGAAGCGCTGATACTGGCTTCTTTTCCTCTTTCCGTTGCAGACGTAGAAGTTGACGTGGACCGGAGTGGAGAGTCTTTGGTTGCGATAAGGAGGGATTTCAACGATCAGCGAATTCTGCAGGGAAAGAAAAGAAAACTTTAAATCTCAGTGGAGGGATTGTTTTTTATTTGTTTGTTTTTTTGCGAGTAAAACAGGAATGCATGCCTGAACTAGCTCCATGAAGTAGAATAAAGCTGCTGTGTAACTTCTTCACCATTTTTGCTCAGTTTTCTGTTTTTGTTGTGCTGTTTTTAACCTTTTTGGAGTCAAGGAGTGTTTATAGAAATGCGTCTGTTTTAAAAGAAAAACTTTAAGTGAGTTTTATTCTAACCTGTTTCTTTATTGTTTTATATTGTTGTTAGTTTGTAGATCACAGGAACAGTAGGGGACTGAGCACAGTGTAATCCTTTCGTTTTCATGAAGAAGAAATATGAAGTTCTTTTTGTTTCCTGGTTTTTATCTTTTGTCCTGTTCTTGCTTTTATTTCTAATCCGTCGCCTGAAGGTGTGTCTGTTTTTCTGGGCCGTGGATTAAATCTGAAAATCTGGTTCAGTCCCAAACAAGAAAAAGTTGCACACACACGCAGAGAGACCGTGAAGTAAGAGTTCTGGAGAGCTCTGGTTGTTTGCACAGTGAATAACTCGGCTGATTTTAATAAATCAAATCCGGGATCATGCAGATAGTTTATTTCCTCAGCAGAGTTTCCTGCTGTCTGAGAACCACTAAAGGCCAGGAGCGTCCAGGTTCAGCCGGCGGCCATATGACATCCATATATGTGTGTGTGTGTGTTTCAGTGTGTGTGTGTGTGTGCTCAGTAGCCTGAAGAGGAAGTCATCTGTCTGAAAAACTGTGCTGCAGTGAACGTCTGACCCTGACATGTCCAGGTGAGTGCTGACACTCTCCGGATTAGATCACTACAGCCGTGAAATCAAGTGGAGCCAGATGAGGAACTCAGAGCGAAAAATCCAAGAAACTCCGATGTCGTAAACTACAATCGTGTCGAGCTTTAACAGGATTATTTGCTTCATTTAATTCGTGTCATTCCTGCCAAGTGTGTCGATAAATTCAGACTGATAAAAAGCAGAGATGAGAGTGACGTCATTTTCATATATCTGGACGTGTTGCGCTCACACCTGCTTTCTTGTAAAGCTAGCTCGGCCCACAGCGGACTAAAAAGACCTTTAATTTGTGTGAAAGTCATGAAATTTCACAAAAACAACTCTTGAGATGTTTTTACCTGTCAGATTTAATTTCTCTCATGTGTAGGGAGGAGAAAAATGGGACCTCGAAGGAGCGTTGTTGGACTCCTCCAGTGAGCACTTCGGGACCGTTTATCTAAGTTTACAAGCCTGACGCGTCTAATTGAGAGTAATTCTGAAAATTGTGACTAAATCATCCGAATTAAGGAAGGTCAGCGTGTTCAGGTGACGGAGGCGGTGAGGTATTCTGAGTCTGCGGAGGCTGAACCTGGACGAGGCCGAGCCAGTGTTTGAAATGGGACCAATCCAGGAGACTGAGGGGGGGAGGGGGAGGCCTTTTGTCCATTCAGGCTGACAGATGTGACCCAGCAGTGACTGTGTGTGTGTGTGTGTGTGTGTGTGTGTGTGTGGGAGAGAGAGAGAGTGAGAGAGAGAGAGAGAGGAAGTGTGTATGTTTTGAAGAAGGAAGATTCAGGGAGCAGGTGCAGCGCCTCACACACAGACACCCACTAATCCCCTCGTCTATCTCCCTGACTCCCACCACTACAGCTAAAACCCTCTCTCTCTCTATCTCTCTCTCTCTCCCTCTCTCTCTCTCTCTCTCTCTCTCTCTCTCTCTCTCTCTCTCTCCCAGGCCAAGGCGGGACACACTGCCAAGCACAAACTCCCACAGGTTCAGGGTTGAACTTCAGAAAACCTTTTCCACACGTCTCAAACACAACACGGCTGTTTCCCTCCGGAGAGAAACAGAATAGTTCGATCATACGGGAAATAAAGACATTTAAAGTCATGGTTGACGATCGGAGAGATTGGTAATTATTATGAACCTCGTTTCTATGGCGATCATGGTCCTATAGTGCGATCTCCACAAAGTGAAGAGAAAAAAGAACGGAAAAAATCTGTTCATCCTAACAGGTGCAGGGCTGCAAAAACATCGACCAATGGGAGCCATCCGTCCTGGATGAGATGTTTTTTTTTGTAAGATGGAAGAAGAAAGTCCCGCCTCTTTCGCCTCTGATTGGCGAGTAAAGCTGGAAACGTCATCACGTTTTTATTGTTGGTGCCAGATTCCTCACGTATTGAACAAATATGACGTCTTATTTTGTGGCTGCCCATAAACTTCCTGAAAATCTCACACCGTGTTTCTTGTGATTAGCGGGTGACGCTAACTTATGGGGTTAAAAGATCGGTGTGTGTTGGTAAAGCAGAGGGACAGAGCGAGTAAAAGCGAAAGCAGAAACTATCATCGCTGGTCGATATGATTCTGAACACGAGTTAGCCGTTCCAGATGACGACGATGTCATCTGTTTAATTACACTTTGGTATAAAATTAGGAGGATGCTTTAAGAATTGTCCAAGATTTTCAGGATGTTTAGCGATCTCTCTCTCTCTCTCTTTTTTTTTTGTTCATGTGTTTCCGACAACTGAAAAACTGGTCAGCTGTCTTTCAGGTTTTCCAGGACATGCGAGAACCCTGTAAACCTTTTAAAAACTACAACAGAACAATAAAAAAATAAAAGCATGAAAATCATTCCTGAAACATGGATTGAATGTTGTAATTTGTGGTGCATCATTTTTAAATGTTGATAATATTATATACATTTTTCTGTTGTTTTCAGCAGTTCAGGCGGTCACTCTGGGATCCAGATTTTTGGGTGAACTGGTCCTTTAAAGTCGAGTTGAATCAAAGTGCAGATGTGTGCTGAGAAGACCTCGTTCTCTCTGAGCTCTCTTGATTTAGACATCTGTTTATTTCTTAAATCAAGACTGAAAACGTTCGGCCCCCTTCGCCCGGTCGAGTGATCAGAAACAGCCGCTTATCCTCCGTGCTTTTATTCTGAAATCAGGGAAAACTGTGTCACATGTCACTCACCGTCTTTGAGGCGTCCCTGTCCACCTTGGCCTCGGTCTCCCAGAGGTGATGACCATCTGACAGGAAGAGGAGAAAGAGTTTAGTGATGATGACGAATTAGGAAATAAATCCACCTACTTGGCTCCCTGCAGAAATGAAGAAATGGAACGAGCGTTGTTATTATTATCTGTTACATCAGTGATTTATAAAACAGAAACACAAAGACAGGGGGATCGAACACGTCATGCCGTCTGTCCCGCCGCTCATGAGCTCATGTCCTCAGTCTGACGAACCTGAGACGGAAAGAAAAGACGCAGACGCAGACGGGGAGAGAAATCTGATGCAATTCTCCAAAAACCCTGATTCATACCAAAGAGATGAACGAGGAGAGAAAACCTTCGCTTCACGGCCGCGAGGAATCCCGACATGCTGGAGCAGCTGGTCGCCTCATTATTACACAACCACTGGAAACTGACAAGTCCACTTCCAAACTTCTTAATTCTTGTGTTCCCATAGGAATCAGTCTGTTATCCTCATATAATGATTCTTAGATGGTTTTCGTATTACCGCTATTTCTGGTAATCTGGTTTTTCTCCCCTAAAGTTGCCGCTTTAAAGAGATTTCCCATCAGGCTGTAAAACTGGGGATCTCATGAGCTGTCGGGAAAAAACAGGCAAACTAAAAAAGAAAATTTGATTTGTCATCCTGCCCAAAGAGGTGTGAGTTTAACTAATGTTAACAATTTACAAGAAAATCATGGTGATTCTGAGAGCGCTGACTCATTTAAAGACCCATAAAGGGATTAATCGACTGAGAATGTGACTAAAACAAACCCTGCTCTTAAACCCAAACTCTGCAACCTTAAAACCCAAACTCTGCTGCCTTAAAACCCAAACTCTGCAACCTTAAAACCCAAACTCTGCTGACTTAAACCCAAACCCTGCAGCCTTAAACCCAAACTCTGTTACCTTAAACCAAGCTTGGCCTCCTTAAACCTAAACTCTGCTGCTTTAAACCAAAAGTCTTCTGCCTTAAACCCAAACTCTGCTGACTTAAACCAAAACTCTGCTACCTTAAACCCAAAGTCTGTTGCCTTAAACCTAAAGCCTTCTGCCTCAAACCCAAACTTTTCTGTCTTAAACCCAAACTCTGTTGCCTTAAACCCAAACTCACTTCCTTAAACCAAAAGCCTTCTACCTTAAACCCAAACTCTGCAGCCTTTAAAACCCAAACCTTGCAGCCATAAACCCAACTCTGCTGCCTTAAACCCAAACTCACTGCCTTAAACCCAAACTCTGCCACCTTAAACCCAAACTCTGCAGCCTTAAACCTAAACTTTGCTGCCCTAAACCCAAACTCACTGCCTTAAACCCAAACTCTGCCACCTTAAACCCAAACTCTGCAGCCTTAAACCTAAACTTTGCTGCCTTAAACCCAAACTCACTGCCTTAAACCCAAACTCTGCCACCTTTAACCCAAACTCTGCAGCTTTAAATCTAAACCCTTGTCAGCTTCAGTTCCTGAATCTTTGAGGAAATGAGGATATTTTTGTTTAACAGTATTTAAGTCCAGCCTAAACAAAAACCCTGTAATTCAGGAATGATTCAGGAAGGTGCAGACGTCTGGCACACCAAAGAAAGTTTGGTAACTATAACTCAAATTCAGATTTCCAGATCGGAGCGGCCTTATTTGACATTTTAAACAGATGAATATGGTTTTAAGTTTGTATGAACCAGCTCCACAAAGCAGCATGAAGCTCAGAGTCAAACATTTCTACATAAACAATCGAGCTAATGCGACCAGTAGGCCAGAAAGCTTTGGCCTCACTCCCTGAATCTGAACCGGACAAATGAGATTCAGAGCTCCGTCTCGACAAAAACGGTTTGTTTGAGTGAAACATTGATCTGCAGATCTGTCTCTGTCTTTCCTCCCTCTCTCCTCGTCTGTCTCTTCGCTCTCCTGAAGGGAAACCTTCGCTGTCAGTGTTGATCCACAGGAGGTAAACATGTTTTTCAGATCTCTCCCTCAGTCTGCTCGTCTCTGTCTCTGACTCACTCTAACATCATTTTTCACATCGATGCACTGATAGAAAAATCCAATTCAGCACTTTGTTTTCTGTGCCCGGCTACCTACTGTCAGGAAACTTCTTCAAAAACAGCGCTGTGAAGCATCGAATGCGTGGGATGCCTTTTGTTTGAGAGGAGCGTAGTGGATAATTGATAACCACAGAATGTAATTGATAACCACAGAATGTTCCAGACTCATAGAGCAACATCTGCACAGAGGCTGAACTCGTCCAGTGAAGAAATTCAGCAGCTCTCACTCTCCAGCTCTCCTCCTACTAAATTTCAGCGAGCACAATACGCTCCTAACTCCCTGGCCCACTGTGCTGGATCCGGTCCAATATTATCAAAGTTAAACAACTCGGCCCAGAACCACGCGGTCCATATAAACCCTGTACCCCTCTCCGGCTCTCACAGCGCACAGGCCTTCTCTTGCCTTGGCTGCATCCCAGAAGTCTTTGCAATTCACATTTCGTTAGCAGTGGTCTATACAAATCATCAGAGGAGACATAACACAGAGCCGTCAACGACACGGCGTGCTGCAGCAGTGGAGTCCCTGCAGCAGCCGAGGGGGATCAAACAATATACAATACTCTTATTTGTCATGTTGGGTTTATACGGGGAATCAAACAGCTCCTTGTGCTCCTTAATTGGAGCTGGGTGGAGTGAAATGTTGGTGCCCAGAGTGAAACAGCGGGATGGCGTGTGCCCAAGCCCTCATAACGTACAGTAAATATAAACACATGCGCTACCCTGAACCATGTGGCGGGACTGAAAGCTTCCCTTGTGCTCTGACTGATGACTGAAACTTCTTCCTTCCTGACGCCCTGAAAACACGTGGATTTTTGAGGATACATGAAAAACCGCTGTGGCGTGGAGAGGTTTGGCAGCCGCGCCACAGTGTCCTGGCCTGATAGATGGATAAAGCAGAGGAAGAGGAGGAGGAGGAGGAGGAGATACCAACATTAGGTAAAATGAAAACTACAAAGGAGCTGGTCTGTGAACACCATCAGCTGCAGCAGGACACTGAGCTGCTTTCATGAATGTTATTTTCTCAAAGTCAAAGGCATTGGTGTTAGCATTAGCATTTGTGTTAGCATTAGCATTGGTGTTAGCATTAGCAGCAGAAGCATGTCCACCTCCACTATGGCGGGTTTCCGTCAGCTCAGAACTCGGTCCTCCTCTGGTTGATCTGTCATGTACCAAAACAATCAACTAACAACAACAAACAAACAAACAAACAACCAAACAAGCTAATCTGAAGACGTTTTGGTTGTGTAAATGCTGTACTGCTAGAAAATTGATGGTATGTCAATATTGGCGCCCCCCTGTGGACAAAGCTTTATCTCTTTGCTGATTTTGATTTCTATATGTGTAAATAATTCACTGTTTTCTAACTAAACTCTAACATCTGGATAAAATAATGTAACTTAAGATAACGTAACATAATATAGCATAATGTAAGATAACGTAACGTAAGATAATGTAGGATAACGTAATTTTAGATAATGTAATGTGAGACAGCTGAATGTAAGCTGATGTAACGTAAGATGACATCACGTAGGACAAGGTAACATGAGACAGCGTAATGTAACATAAAGCGACCTTAAATAAGATAACGAAACGTTAAAAATTACCTAACGTTAGATTATGTCACGTAAGATAACGTAAAATAAGAAGACAAAGTGGACAAATCAGCAAATGTTATCTCTGCATGTTTTTTTGTGTGTAAAATATCCTCAATAAGTGATACATTAGGGAGGGATCTAACCATGCAGTCAGTAAAAAACTGCCGAACTTATCATACATGTGAATGTTAGCTTAAAAAAAGGCAGAGATTGGAGATACCCAAAATGATTGAGCGCTTGGTTTTGATGGTTTTGTTGGCTTTTCTGAGTCATATCAGAGAATCACTTTTGATTTTAGTAGTCAGTTTAAAAAAATCCTCACAGGAGCTTTAATTTGAAATGATGAAAAGGCTTTTACTTGATAAAGAGGGGACGTCACCCTCCTGACATCAGACTGATCAATGTCTGAATAAAAAAACTTCTCAGAGGACAATCGTAAAAGAAGGTGAGTAAATAAATAAATAAAATAAAGGCCACCCTTACATGGAGCTTGGCCCCCTCACTTTGAAAACTCAGGACACACCCCTGGACTTCTAACGCTTTAACCTAAAACAACTGATGAGTAAAACTCTTCATAAAAATCCTCTAAACTCTGAGAGTCAGCGTTAAGAACCAAAAAACGCTGCTGTCACGTTTTTTTTGGTTCTGCTTTGGTTTGGTCGGCCTGGCAGAATCAAACTCTGGATCTGCTCAAACAGGCCTGCGATTTTAACGAATCATACACTATAATTTATGAAAACATAAACTCCTCTGTTTATGTGGCTGTAATTGATTTGTTTATGAAAACAGCCATTGTTCTCAGAAGTGTCAGAGGCAGCCAAAACCGCTGAGCAGCTCCGAGTGGAAGTCATTGTTCTTTGAATGTAATGAAACCAGTGACCGCCCCTCCCTTCAAACCAGACCACTGCCCCTGAGCTGGTACAGCTAGCCGAGCGAACACATTCACATCATGTTGAAAACCGCCTTCAGTCGCTCTATGCATCCTGCTCTCAAAGGAGGATGTTATCGATAATTTCTGCAGGTAATTCCAGGCACCATCTGGCAGCCTTACAGCACGATAATCCTCTCACAGTTCAATCCGAGGTCCTCTTATTTCTGCAGCTGCTCTGTCCAAGAACAATCAGCCCAAATTTGTTGAACGGAGAGCTCCTTTTTTACCCATTTCAAGTCCCAACCACTGGAGAAGACGGACAAGTGAGGAAGATGGGTCGACAACAATTAAACTCGCTTTTAGCCGAGGAGTTTGATGGATCAGGAAAATTGTTGTTCCCAGTAATAGTGACTCGAGCTCGGCGGGCAGCTGTCCAGTGCAGCAGGCCAGATGTGAAAGTGCTCTTTTCACCAGAGGGTTTTTCCTCTGCGAGGATTTCCTCCAAGATTTCCACTCAAATTAAGTTATTATCAATCATGGTGGGGAAAGACTGAGGAGAAAACCACACGGTAAAAAAAACACTGACATGAAATTAGGAAGAAACTGAGAGAAAGTAAACAAAGACGAGGACTTTAAGAGGCAGTACTCAAGATTATCCATTCATAACACAATACTCTTCATAAATCAGGCCTGTTGTTAAGTATCAGGGGAAAAAGTGGATGAGGACTGGCTGTGGGGTAGGAACTATTTTCAGTCACTTTTTAACCATTTAACTCAGATACAAACTCCAGTAAATGACTATATATTATAAAATCTTTGGTTGTGATGCTCAAAAAGCTTAAAAATATTTAAAGCTCCTGTGAGGAACTTTCGGTTTGTGTCGATTCTGGCGCCCCCTGTGGACAAGTAAGTCTTTGCTTACCTACAGGCTTAAAAAATCTCCGCCTGATTTAGTTCGTCATTTATTGTTAATATTTAAGCGTATGTAGCAATCAAGACAACCCTGGGTGTAAAACTCACACATTCCTCAAAGGGAAGTTTCCTTATCTGGTCCCAGGAAACAGGATATAAATCTTTCCAGACTTGTGTGCACTTTCAGGTTACCTAACTGACCCAAGACCGGAGGTTGACTTAACCTCTGACTCTTCACGATTGGTCGATTCAGAGAACAGAGACAGAGTTTTATTACCTTTCAAACTGACTCCATTTGCTGACCATCTAAATAAACATTAACCTCAACCCAGATCTCCCATTTGAGATTTAGCGTCTTAAAGTGTGTGAACATACGGACCCCAGGAAAAGGGGGGACACTGACCTCCAGACCTCGGTCGTAAAACCCAGCTCGACCATACACTGATAAAGACTACATTCCTTTGGTGAAAGAATACAAATGACTGATCCTGACATCTTATACATTCAGCAATGTACTAATCTGTCTAATCATGAAATTTGTGTTAAAATGAGATGTTTCCCATTTTTCTATGTGCTCCAGAAGCCGAGTTATCGCTCTTTAGTTTCTTTAGACCAACAGCTTTTCAGACTGTTTCATGAACTTTTAAGAGTTACATTTATTGACTATGGATCATAACTTTACTCTATGAACACAGAAATAGTTTAGAAATGTTTGGTCTATATTTTAATCGTTTATTTAGTATTTTTAACCATTAGGTGGTTATAATGTCATTGAATAACCTTAATGTGAGTATTTAGAATCCATTATTAATCATGATGAAGTTCATTCACATGTGTGTACTCTTTTGTTGTTCACAGTTTCCATGTGTTACTATCTGTTTCATTTCAGAGTAATTTAGCATGTTCAATGTGATACTTAAAACATAATGAGAATGTTTGATGTGATCCTACACTTCATTCATATGTGTTTAGTGTCAAATTATTTATCATGAAACCAAACATTCAATGATATTAATCATAGTGAGTGAGTATCAGATCTGACTCTTTTGCCAGCCAAAAGAATAAGTTAGATCAAATAATCAAAGACCACACGACCCCTCCTCTGTCTCCTCACACACACGCCGGAGCCACTCCCAGTGTGAGAAGATAAAACCAGTGAAGTCGGGTTGCTCTTATCTCTCTTATGCTTCTGCTCTTCTGCTGACTCTCTTGTCCCCGGCTCTTATGCCCCTTCTCTTCTGCCCACACCCTTCTGTGGTGCGTTTCTTTGTTTTCTCTTAGAACTTTTTCTTAGTCTTCTAAGTTTTACGCCACGTGTTGATTCACGTTGATTTTTCTTTAACATCGTCTTAGTTCAAGTTTTGAAACTTCAACTCTTTGTGCACATAGCAATCCAAGATTAAGCCTTTGATTGATTTTTCTTTAATTTCGCGAAGCCATTTTTGAAAGTTTTCTCTGCTCGAGTCTCGTTTTTCTGAGTTTTCTGCGTGATTCAAAGTCACCTCTGAACGCAACCCAGCAGGCCCAGGTCATCCTCTGTGCCAAAGTTTTAAGTGAGACCAAAGAAGTACCCAAACGAGCATCCACAGGATCCACAGGCGCTGGCTTTGCTTCGGGCCCGAGTGCTGCAACTCCTGGCTCATCCTTCGGCTGACTTCAGTCGTCTTCTGAGCTGAACCGCTCGAACCGCCAGTAGCCCCGGACGTTCGGAACCTGCTCCATCTTCTCCAAGGACCAGTCTCACTTAAGTATGCAAACCTCCAGAGCTCCAAAGAGGGCTGGTGCTGTCTCATGCGTTCATAACTCAGATATCCACCTATTTCTGGTAATCTTAGATTCCTCCAAATCCACATCCGAGTTTATCTCGACACCAAAGTTAGTGTAGGTTAATATGTTAGCGCATATTCACTCACTATCATTAACTTTAGTGCTCCTAGCCTGACTCAGAATCTTTATTTATTCACCTATTATTATTTTATCTTCATTATCTTATCATCATTTATTGCATGTGTGTTGTACCATCATTTATCCTGTAATAAACAGATCATTATTTTCCTAAGTTCTTGACTGTTAGTGTTCTTCCAGAAGTGGAGTCCCTGAAATTAGAATTTCGACTTAAGATATGAGACTGATTAATTAAGACTGATTAATTAAAACTGACTTGATGTTTGATTTCTGAATTAAACTTTTGTTTTCTTTATTTTCCCACCATTAAGGGTGGGTGGTGCCCCTTTCAACGAGTGCATAAATGTCATAATTTGAGATTATTAATCTTCAGACATTTATTATAAATTCCAATCGCCAAGTATTATTTTGGTGCGGCCTTGTGAGGCTCATTTCAAATCGCTACATATATTTTGGTGCGACCGTATGAGGCTCATTTCAAATCACTACACGTACATGTTCAAATCAGGGCAATTTCAGGCAGAAAAATGATGATTTACAAGCGGTCAGTCTCATCCCTGATGCTCTTGTTTACCTTTAGAAATTAAAAAACTTCTTATAGTAGCTTTAATACAGATTGTAGGATAGTTACTGTTGCCATGACTTGGGGTTATCTGTTCTTAATTTGTGCCATTTTGAAGTTGTGATGCTTTGAAGTCAATGTGATAAAAATACTTTACTGAGGAACGATTACCATGAGATCTAGTTAAAAAGTCAGCGTACACGTCGGCTCAAATGTGGATTAAATGGAGTAAATATGAAACCACCGAGGTCAGGGTTAGCTAACTTTGATGTAACTGAATTTGTCTTGTTTACTTTGGGTTTTATGAAGTCCAATCACATCCAGACCAGACCTTCAAACTTCACAACCAGCTGATTGCAAACCAATCACTGTCAGGGGCGGGACTAAAGCCAAGGTAAACTGTGATTATGCCGTCCAAGTCTGGGTCGATCAAAACTGCTAAAAAACATCAGACAATTCAACAAACACAGTTGACTCTTGGAGCTCCGTGTCAACGTTTGATTACATTTATTTTAATCCTCCTCATACTTCCTCTCTCTGTGTTTGTTTTTGAGCCTCGCCCTCTGATTTCCATTTCATCACTTCATCACAGATCTGACATCTCTTCCAGCACGACCCAGAACTGAACTGAACGGAGGTGAATAAAGGACAGCAGGAGCTAATTTCCCAAATGGAGCGACTGACTTATCAGAGACATCACCTCCTCTGCAGGCTCAGGCGAGTGAAAGCAAGGTGAGATCGAGGCGGGTTCAGATTACACGCTGACGCCTGCGGCTCCGAGGACATACTGTAATCTCTTATGACACGTCGGCTGTAACCAGGAGTGACATTAAACCGATGCTATCTGTCATGTTTCTACTAAGGTTGGAGACGCACACAGGAGGGGACATGTTCAGCGGTTACTGTTTTCAGATGTTTTGCTCTGACAGAGGAGGAGCAGGTGACGGGGGGGAAACAAGGGATTTCCTCCTGCATGAGTCATGGTTAGCAACAACACAAAAACACGAAGACGAAACTGTGGAGGAAGAGAAACAAGGCAGCAAGAATAAAAACTGCAGTTCTTAAAGTGGCCACTAGGGGGCCGGTATGAAAGTGAGTCAATCCTCATTTGAATCCATACCAGTTTTTGGAGGAAATCTTGAATGTAAACTCTACCCCTCCCAACCAGTTTTCCCCTCAGCTCCTCCTCTCCCCTCAAGCCCCGCCCACAAACAGACGCTCCTGCTCGCTCGTATCGTTCCGATTTAATTCAGATATAATGCAGATCAATACTTCAGATCATTACAAATGGGGCCCAGTCAAGGTGAAAGTCAAAAGCATTGGTGCTACTGTAGATGCCAACAGACTACCAGCAAACACAATGTTTGCAGGACTTCTACAACGAGGATAAAGTGACATAGTCCAGGACCCGAGGGAGGACAGTTTAGCGATGGCGCTACAACACGCTACAGCAGGTCCGTTTGACAAGAAACACTTCTGTTACAGACACTTGTCTTACTTTGTTAAAGCGGAAAGGTTACAGGGTCCGTACCCACCAAACATCGGACGCCCAAGAGACGTGCAGATCAAGTTAGCATTGGGTCGGTCCGTCAAAGACCACATCGAGACGTCAGTGCGATGTGCAAAATTGATTAGAAATTTCAACGTCCAAATTGGACCATTTTTAGACGTCACTCTGACGTTTAGAATTTGGATGTCATCTGAAGACAAATTCCAGACATCGGCAAAACGTGCAAAATAGATCCAAGATTTAGATGCCATAATTGGACCTCTTTTAGACGTTGAAATGACGTCCACATTTGTACCTCATTGTCAAAAAAATACGTTAAATAGATGTCATTTCGACATCACATTGCGCAGTGGGTAAGATCCCAAAGCGTCCCCCATTGACCTGGATTTTTTTAGCTCTTGTTCAGTCTACCTCCGTTTTAAGCGCCCGTTATTCCTCCAGAGTCTCCGGTATTTACTTTGTTTTCTTGCTTGTGTCGGCAGTCGTGGTCAAAGGAGGATTCAGACAATTTTCCGAACTTTCTGGTTGGTTTCTACTGTCCGATATTGTAGCACGCTAACTTAGCTAGGGCTTATGAACATTGTTCGAGGACATGGAGTGTGCCTAACAGCCAATCAGGTTAGAGGAGGCGGAGAACAGCTTTGTTTACAGTCAGAAAGAGACGCTCAAAAAATGTTAAAATGTTGACGACACAGACATAAGACAAAGATATCATCATATTTCCACATTTCATCAATAACTACTAACTATTGACTGATATTAAAAGCTTTTTTTGTATATACACATCCTGCCTACTGCACCTTTAGGCGTCTTATTTTGTGGCTGTCCAAAACTTAACCTGCAGTTAAGAGATCAGTGTGTGTTGGTAAAGCAGAGGGACAGAGCGAGTAAAAGCGAGTTAGCCGTCCCAGACGACGATGTCATCTGTTTAGGGAAACTCTGGTATGAAATTAGGAGGATGTTTCAATAATTGTCCAAGTTTTTCCAGGATGTTTAGCTTTTTTTTCACGTGTTTCCGATGACTGGAAAACTGGTCAGCTGTCTTTCAGGTTTTCCAGGACATGCGAGAACCCTGTAAACGCAAACCAGTCCTTACTGTGACCGTCTTTTCCTGGACTTTTTCTACCGCAAACACACACAATAAAGAAAAAAATATATCTGCACATTGAAATCAGTGTGTCCTGGAGTGGAAACATCATTTCACCCAGAGGCAGAAACAGAAACAAATGAAGTTTCTAGTTTGTTGGCCGAGTCTTCAGGCAGAATGACCCATCCAGCTTGTAATGACAGGGGAAACTCTGACCAGCACACACACACACACACACACACACACACACACACACACACACACTTGTAAGTACAGGATACATGCGAGCACACATCACGCCGGTGCCCACATGTTCTCTTACCGCAGCTTTATGAATGTTATTTTCTGAGAGCTTTATTGGAAAATTTGCAGGAAAATTGAGCATCAGTGAGATTTTAAAGCTTCAGATCTTTATGGTAACTGAATCCACTGCTCTGGATTTATGTGCCGGATCATTAAAAGTGTTTCTCAGGGCTCCGAGCTGGCACGAGTAAATGAGAGGATCAAGTTTCCAAACTCTGCTAGTTAAGAAGTGACAGCAAAGATGAGCAGCGTGTGTTTAAATATGCAAACGAGCTTTTGTGCGTACTCTTCACCCCTGACATGAACGATGTTTCGCCTTGTCTGCTGTCTCTCTTTACCTATCTGTTTATACAGAGAGCTGCTTCAGGAGTCGGCAGTTTGCAGAGTTAATGAGCAGAGAGCTGGTGGCGCAGAAGCAGCTCGGATGGAGAGGTGGAAGGATGGAGGGAGGGCAGAGTTGTGGAAGCCTGGCTTCAGGGTGTTTCCATGCTAGGACTACCCAGGAATCTGATGCTGGTGCCAGACGCAGGGAAACCCTCATCAAAAACAAGGGAGCACACACCCATGTGCAGCCGTCCAGAGCTGCCCGAGGCCCGAAAGAGAGCCGGATTCAGATCTCTGATGCAAACAGGGAATCTAATGTCCCCCAGAAGAGTTAAACAGCTGCTAAGTTACTTATCATCTTCATTATCACAAACTAAATACTCTTTTCTTTGCCTTTTTGAGGAGTCTCTCTAGTGATAAAGTGGCTGTGAGCACTGTCTCTCATTATTAACCATGAATCAGGGTTTATGTGCATAAGCCGGAGCCCAAGTTGGGCCCCCAGTCGTAAAAATCCTGGACACAGCCCTGCTTGATCGCGTGAGCCTCGTGGGAGTGGATCTGATCTGACTAGATGAGACTTAGTCTTGATGTTGGGTCTGTGTTTGCTGTGTATAATGGAGAGGGGGTCTAGACCAGCCCAAAGGTGTCCCCTTTTCTTCATAAACTCTATCAATATACATAAATATTAATCCATCCAGATCATGATTGAAAAAAAAGGAAGAATTTGATGCTGGGATGCATGTATCGAAAATGAAAAAAAAAAGTACATTTCTCCATCGTTTAATTTTTAATTCTATATTATTCTTTATTTGATTGAATAATCTATTAAATACCATTTTTATTTTATTCTTATTTACTTCTTTTTTATTTAAGTATCTTTTTTATTAATTTAATTTAATTTAATTTAATTTTAATTTTAGTATCGATTTCATTTTGTTAATTTTTTTCTTTATTTTTATTTTCTTTTAATTTATTAATTTGATTTTCTTTTTCATTTTAATTTTTTATTTTATTTTTTATTATTGTATTTCATTTTTCCCATTTTATCTCATTTAATTAATCTTATTTTCATTCTTTTATTAAATTTTATTTCTTATTTTATTGTAATTTATTTTTTTAATTAATTTATTTATTTGATTTTCTTTTTAGTTCAATTTTTTTTTTTTTTATTAATTGTATTTCATTTTCATTTTATTTTTTTCCATTTTATCTCAATCCATTAATTTTATTTTTATTCAATTTATTTTATCTTATTTCTTATTTTATTGTAATTTATTTTATTTCATTTTATTTTATTTTGTTTTAGTTTTTTTATTTTTTTATTTTGTCAATAGGAAATAGTTATATTTAGGAAATCTCGGCTAACTCTTCACCTCTTGTGTATAAAAACAGGCTTTTGTCATTTGGTTTTTTAGGTAAATCCGGCCTCTTTATTGTTACACAGCTCAGAGTCTGATCATCCTCGCTCTCAGGAAGAAATCAGGGCTGATCAGAGACGCTGTGACGAGGGGAACAAGGCCTCCGCTCATTCAATCACTTCTTGTTTTTATAAACAATCTCTGCTCCATTGTACGGTGCTGGAGGAGGTGGAGGAGGTGGAGAAGGAGCGGGGTCTTATTCTGCCTGTGTGACCGGGGCAGCCTTGAATTCTTCCTCTCACAGGTGGAACAATGAAAAGGCTTCCCTCTCTTTTTTTCGATGAGTCACCGACTGGATCACACGTGTTTACGTTGCGCAGGTTCGGACCGGAGTGCAGCTCACGTTGCTCCGCTGAAACTAATCAAGGAAATTGCTGTTTGTAAACCTCGCCGTATCAACATCTGGGAGCAGTCACCTCTCCCTCTAAACCAAAGCGGCTTAAAGTCAGAAAAAGAGAAACAAATACTGAGACATGGCACATCCACACACAAAAAAGTGCATGTATCCAAACCACATGCGCAGCCACCCACGCACACACACACATCTTGCATTTGTGATCCATTCCTGTGCTGAACAGGCAATGGAAACTTCTGCAAATGTAAATCTGCTGGGTTAAAAATACAGAGCATTAATGTGCTCCACATGTGGCGCTCTGGCAGGACGGAGGATATTTTGACGGCGGGGGGAGACGAGTCAGGGAGGAAGGGAGGGAGACCTGGGGTTTCTCCAACGAACGGAGAGGGAGACACACACACACAGACACACACACACACACACAGCTGGACTGAGACAACACAGCACTTAATCCAGACCTCCTCTTTTACATTTTTACCTTGAGCCTTCTCCACAAACACCACCTTGGAGTCGTGCTGGAAGTTGTGTCCGTCGAGGAGCATCCTCTCCCCCCCGGAGGCGGGACACGTCTCCAAACTCTGCTTATCCACCAGCGGCAGCTCCTGGGCCGATCTCTGAGCTGTGGGCGGGAGAGAGAAAGAGAAAAACCGGCCTCATCGTTCAGCTAATACACACCCACTCCCCATGCAGACCTGAGCATCCAGGCTGAATCACTACCTCGACAGCTTCTCATAAACGCTGGAAACCTCTCTGATGTGTTTGTTTGTGTTTTTCCTCAAATTGTGGTGAAGATTTTCCCTCAAATATCCTTTTCAGGAGCATCTTTCCTTTCCTGGCTCCTCACTTGTCTCCTTTTTTTACCTTTTGGAAATTCCTTCTCATTCCTTTTTTTTTCTCAAAGTTTCACCAAAACTCAAAAAGTTAATTTCTCTCCCTCTGATTTGGATAAAACTCTCATTTTCTGCCTTGGAAAGCGTCACTCTTTCCCACATCTCTCTGTCGTTTCTCCCCCGTCTGCCGCTCTTGCCTCGCTCACACACACACTAAGTGAATTTTGGTCGAAAAACAATTGCTTTGTGGCAGCCGCTCAGAAACTAACAATGCTCTATTTCAGGGGGCTGAGATCATGGTTTAACTACTGTCTCTCATTTACCTCATAAGACTTCATCTCAGAGCGCCAGAGCCGCACTGAGGGGTTGGATCTGCCAGAGTTCATCCTGGTTCAGATAAAGGTCAAATTCAGAGCAGAGCGGGGGAGTCGATCGAGTTTATCGACGTAGGAGGACTTTCATATTAGGATAAAGAAGATCTGAGGGTGAAACCGTTCATAGATTTATGCTTCAAGGAGACAGCTCTGTAGTGGTAGTCAACGCTTAAGTGTCCACATGACGTCTTAAACCCAGACTGAGGGATGAAAATAAGAGAATTTTAACCTTTGAGAGGCAAAACTTCCTTTAAAAAATGACGTTTTTGTTCTTTTGACCATCTGTTAAGACTTAGAACTCCACTGGATCGCCATCGATCCCACCTGACACCATTCATATTGTTCACAGTTTCTCGGGAACTATACCGTGGTTTCTCTATGGGATGAAAAGTGTTCAAAAGGTTAACCTTTTGGCGATCTAGCGAGGGTTTCCAGACATCTCTACACCTGCCACAAGGTTCACAATCCAGCCGCAAAAATACGTGTTTGATCAGAGACGTTTGATCGAGTTTATGGACACAGGAGGACTTTCATATTAGAATTAAGTAGATCTAAGAGTAAAACAATTCATGGATACATATTTATGCTTCAAGGAGACAGCTCTGTAGTGGAAGTCTGCGCTTAAGTGTTCACACGATATCTTAAACCCAGACTGAGGGATGAAAACCTGAAAATCTTCACCTTTAAGAGGGTAAACTTGCTTAAAAAATGACTTTTTTGTTCTTTTGACCATCTGTTAATATCATAATGTTCATAATCTCTCTACAAACCAGTAAATCTAACTGGTTTTTGACTCTGTGTAGATGTACTCACAGCACTCGATGGGGTTGGACGAGGCCTGCAGGGACACCGTCCTCCCGGAGGCCTGGTTGATGTGAACTCTGAAGACCATCCTCACGCGCGTGTTCTTGCGCCCGATGTCGGTCTCCCCTTTCCTCAGCTCGATGTCAGAATTACGCAACTTCAGGATCCCCGCGCAGTCGATTCTACGTTTGGTGGAGACACAAGAAGAAGAAGAGTCAGAGTCCGCCAGAGTCCGTCTCTGCACACACGGTAAATCATCGTTTAGGTAAAGGATGTACGCTCTCAGAGTTAATCAGGCTGTGATTTATGAGGGTTTTAAAAGTAATGTCCGCTCTGGGACGGAGGCTGCAGCCGTGTCAACAGAATATTAACACCTCCGACCCCGGCTGAGCTTTGACACTTCACCAAACCGTCTCTCTCAAACAGTCGGGAATGCTCATTATATCGCCATAATGCTCCACTAGAGATTATCCCTGACTCCATGTTGACCTTCTATCAATCTTTTTGGCGAGAGTTGGCCGTCGGAGCGTCACAGGGTTCATCCGACACTTCATAAAAGCCCTTTTTTCTCTCCCCTTCAGTCCTTTTGTGTCTGCGCAGCTCCTGCACACTGAAATACCTTCAGTCTCTCCAAACCGTTTCTGGCATTCCCATTTGCGTGCTACTCGACGCCGCATTCCTCCAAGTCTAGTAAATGTCGACTTTTAAACACATCTGAACACTCCCTAACATTCCTCCATCCAGACGCCGGGGTCTGAGAGGCAATCAGGTGTTGATGCCGACGACCCCAGCTGTAAAATATCGAGCTTCACACTCCAAAAATTAGTCGTTTTAATTGTTGGCGAATTCTGGACTGATGTTGATTGACGGTTTAATCTGAAGCATGTCGCCCTAAACTCTTCCAATATTAGAAATACAAGAATGCTTGTAGTCGATACCACCTCATAAAACTTCTATATGTCACTCCAGGGCACATGTCAAAATGAATAAAGCTCACATAAATCCCGAGCCGGCGCTGTAAGAACTCAGAGGCCTGAGAGAGAAGAAGAAGAAGAAACCGTATCCTGAAGTGAGGTTGTTGTATAAGTGCAGCCTATATGTGTTACATCCATTAAAGTGCAGAGAAAGTGCTGATGTTAGCAAGCTGCTACCGCCTGCAGCTCAGACACAAACCCCTGATCCCTGTTAGCGGCCCACAGCTCTCCCCGTAATCTGATCTCTGAGGCTTATAAAAGGGGAGAGAGGGCAACGCTTTTACAACCAAAACAGACGGACGGACCGAAGTCGACATTTCCAGATCGACGGCTCTCTTTCTCTAAAAAAAACACAAGACGAACTGTTCGTATAAAACAGGATGAAGAGGATCCTCAGCCGAGATCAAACTTAATTCAGTGTTTACTGCAAGTCTGGGACTCGGTTAGGGCTGGGCGATATATCCTCAAATCAATATCACGATATATTGATCAGTTCACCTCGATAACGATAAACGGACGATAACTACTCTACAAGCTGCTCACCCCCTCCCACATTAACTTCGTCTACTTCAGCCGCTACAACTTTTGAACCGTCCTCCATCTCCTCACCTGTCTTTATTAATTTTTTTCACACTGAATATACCGATATGGGCAAAATGACTCGAAGACTCGAAGAGCTTCTTTAGTTCTAAAATAGCAAGTGAGGGGAGCAGGTATTTATCTTACAGGAGAGGGGGAAAACAACCACTGGGAGGGATCTTACATCTTGGTATCAGTAAAGTTTTGGTTTATCCTCCAGCCCCAGACTCGGTCATTCTTAAATCTTTCCGATGGGTTGGTTCTCGAGTCAAATCCAAGTCCAATTCCACAAAGTGAAGACTTGATAAGGGAAAACAACAAATTACAGTTTTCTTAACTAAAGTAGGACTTGGCTCACTTACTCTAGACTTAACTCGAACTTAAAACCTGACCTGAACTTGTTTGTAAGACCAGAAACTCGACTAGGAGTTCTTAAACTGTTAAGACTTGGTTAAGACTTGTTCAAAAGGAGACCCCATGGGTCTTTGACCTGATTGAACAAAAATTCAGTCTGGACCAGTTTTATGATCAGTTTAAATTTCACCTGTCTAAAATGATTTGGGGACTTGGACTTGGACTTGGACTTGGACTTGGGACGCTGATTTAGCTCGACCTGATGTTGGCTTGATGAGCCTTGACTTGGACTTTTCCTAACGAACACTTCAAAACGGACTCAGAATCCCCCCTGGACTTGTTTTGAGTGGTCGACTTGTTAATAGGAAGATCTGATTAAAAGGACTCGGGCTCTCCTGAAGATTCGGATTGGCTGAAATGTTGAAGTTTTTATCAAGTCATACGATACGATAATAAAGATGACATCGTTGAGCTTCAGGAAACCTTCAAAATGAGGTTTTACATCCAAATCAAGTCTTAGATTTCTTAAGGGCTGATGTGGATTTACTCCAAACCCCGGATGCTAAAAGTAGAGGTGTCCCGATGAAACTTTTTTACTTCCAATATGATACCGATATTGATCCGATATTGGCACAAACTTGTGCATGACAAGTTTTTCACTCAGCAGTAACGTCTTTTTCAGACTCTAATAAAAAATACTGCCACACAGCCGACATCACTCCTACTCGTACCTTTGTACACACTGTTGTCATTGTTACGTGATACTGGATTAGGGCGCTGCTAGCTAGAGGTGCCAGAGCGGAGTCTGGAATGGACTGCTTGTATCGGAGTGCTGATATCGGAGATTTTAGATGCAGGCCGACATAATCCGATATTTGTTTTTTGGCCGATATCAGACCGATATCTGATATCAATATTGTCTCGGGACAGTCCTAGTTAAAAGAGCTCATTTCGACCCTCTTTAGCTTGTTTTATTGATCTGCAGAAAAGCTGAATCCCTCCGACGCTAACATCTGTACTCACATGGCTCTCATGTTGTTCTCAGGCAGCAGAGGGATCTCCAGGACTTTGGTGTTGTTGTGCAGAGCCTCGTGGCTCGGGGTGGACACGGTTTTCCCGGTGATTCGGTGGACTTGGTAGAAGGCGTGGGGCCTCAGCAGTCTGTCGTCCGCCGTGCCGATAAACAGCTGCAGGGTCAGCGGTTCGTTCTCCATGTAGCCGTGGAGCTGGAAGAGAAGAAGTGGAGACAAAGCTGTGGTTCAGTCCTGATATCTTAACTTATAAAAACCAGAGGAGCTGGTCTCAGAGAGGTCAGGATCGGATCATGATGGTTTTTAAACAAAGTCCCCATTTAGGCTCCTGTAATCGCCCTCTTCATCTCCTCAGATTTACGACTGATGGCCTGTTTTTACTTCCTCCATCGGTTCACGGCGAGCTCGCCAACATGTTGATCCCACAGTAGCTGAACCTCAGGGGGAGCTGCTGCCAGAGCAGAGCAGTAAAACCACCTACAGCGAGCTCTGTTGTGATTTGTGAGCCAGCGCTCACCCAGTGACAAGACTAAGCTTGTGTTTCAGAGTCGGGGTCACGTCAGTCCCACAAATCCGCAACCAATCAGGGTCGAGAAAAGCTCTCAGCGGTGATCCTGCTCTGATTTTTATCAGTAAAACGATCCCGGTGAGCGGAGGACAAGACAAACGTAAGCCTCACTAAAGCTGGTGGACCATACCCAAAGATCTGAAAGTACTCCCAGACCTCCATAGGTGTTCCTGACAGGACGCCTCCTGCCAGGATGACCTCAACCGCCAACACAGGAGCGTGCAGACGTGGGGCCCAAATCAGCGGCTGAAACCTGAGAGCAGCAGCTCATACCGGCACACCGCGGAGAGTTACACACGTTATCGACAAAACGGAGGGTTAGAAACGACACGAGACGGAGAGGAGGTCAACTCTTCTCATCTTCAAACTTCTGAACTGGAACAAAAAGAGAGAAAGAAAAGAAAATGTTGTTTTAACCTTTAAGCGCCTCGCAAATCTGAGATTTCAGACTCGAATTTTAAGTTTTCCATTTCCCCAAACGCCGTCTTTTTTCCAGCTGAAGCATCACGACTTGAATCGGTTTTGTTTGGCGAAAAAAGGTTCCATCCTTTCATTAAAACTGGGCACTTCAGCTGCACTCTCGTACCGCCGATCATCAGGTTGGAATAAGAGGAACTTCCTTAATTGTCCAATCAGAGTTTGGTAAAATTAGAGAGTAATCTACGAGGATAATGTTCAAACTCTTCCAGGACACAAAAGAAGCTCTATTTACCCGTCAGATAAAACTGAAATAATTGGACCTGAGGAGTCATGAGTGGCACGAATCGCCCAGAAAAATGGATGATATGTTTACAGTTAAGTGTTAGAGAGCCAGATGCTGAGCCCCACATAATTACACCCTGCTGTGGACGAGACTATCTGCTGAAACAATCAGCGGTGAAATGCTGACATGAAAACCAGAGTTTTCACTTACATACTGCGGCGGAGTGCACACGAGGAGAGGAGAGGAGAGGAGAGGACACGAGGAGAGGAGAGGAGAGGAGAGGAGAGGAGAGGAGAGGAGAGGAGAGGAGAGGAGAGGAGAAGAGAGGAGAGGAGAGGAGAGGAGAGGAGAAGAGAGGAGAGGAGAGGAGAGGAGAGGACACGAGGAGAGGAGAGGAGAAGAGAGGAGAGGAGAGAAGAGGAGAGGAGAGGAGAGGACACGAGGAGAGGAGAGGAGAGGAGTGCACACGAGGAGAGGAGAGGAGAGGAGAGGACAGGAGAGGAGAGGAGAGAAGAGGAGAGGAGAGGAGAGGAGAGGAGAGGACACGAGGAGAGGAGAGGAGAGGAGAGGACACGAGGAGAGGAGAGGAGAGGAGAGGAGAGGACACGAGGAGAGGACACGAGGAGAGGAGAGGAGAAGAGAGGAGAGGAGAGGAGAGGAGGAGAGGAGAAGAGAGGAGAGGAGAGGACACAAGGAGAGGACAGGAGAGGAGAGAAGAGGAGAGGAGAGAAGAGGAGAGGAGAGGAGGAGAGGAGAAGAGAGGAGAGGAGAGGACATGAGGAGAGGAGAGGAGAGGACACGAGGAGAGGAGAGGAGAGGAGAGGAGAGGAGAGGAGAGGAGAAGAGAGGACACGAGGAGAGGAGAGGAGAGGAGAAGCGAGGAGAGGAGAGGAGAAGAGAGGAGAGGACACGAGGAGAGGAGAGGAGAGGAGAGGAGGGGACACGAGGAGAGGAGAGGAGAGGAGACGAGGAGAGGAGAGGAGAGGAGAGGAGAGGACACGAGGAGAGGAGATGAGAGGAGAGGAGAGGAGAGGAGAGGACACGAGGAGAGGAGAGGAGAGGAGAGGAGAGGACAGGAGGAGAGGAGAGGAGATGAGAGGACATGAGGAGAGGAGAGGAGAGGACACGAGGAGAGAAGAGGAGAGGAGAGGACACGAGGAGAGGAGAGGAGAGGAGAGGAGACGAGAGGAGAGGAGAGGACACGAGGAGAGGAGAGGAGAGGAGAGGACATGAGGAGAGGAGAGAAGAGGAGAGGAGAGGAGAGGAGAGGAGAGGACACAAGGAGAGGAGAGAAGAGGAGAGGAGAGGAGAGGAGAGGAGAGGAGGAGAGGAGAGGAGAAGGGGAGAAAGGAGAGGAGACGAGGAGAGGAGAGGAGAGGAGAGGACACGAGGAGAGGAGAGGAGAGAAGAGGAGAGGAGAGGAGATGAGAGGAGAGGAGAGGAGAGGAGGAATGCCCACCCCACAGTGAGAGTGAAAGGCTCAGAGCGAGGAGGCACAACATGTGATTTGGAGGAGGAGGAGGATCCCTGTCGGGGTTAAGAGCCTCCAGAAAGCCTGTATATTTGTGTAAGGAAACGCTTTGCTGCCTAGCAATCCTGTTTATTTAGGCAGCAGGCAGGAGTGTGATGAAGTGAGGTAGCCCGCTCGCGAGGTTAGTCGATAACTTTCAGAGCGGTGATTACAAACAGATGAGTGATTATCAGCAAATAGAAATAATCAAACTTGATAATGTCATCTGAGCGGTTTCAGATGTTCAGAAATAAATGGTTTTTTTCTCCCCAGCGGGCTGTCGCATGTTTGATTTGTTGGTGTAATTAAATCGCAGAGATACCACTGCGGGACGCTCCTCCACCCTGGCACTCGGCCCCTCCCTGCTTCATATCATCACCCACAGGAGGAATGCCGAGACTCAGGAGGAGACGGGGTGAAGGCCGTCCGGGCTCCTTCTGAGTTTTTATCTCACAACACGTGGACTCCTGTGTCGAAGTTTTGAGATTTACCGCTCACAGCCCGCCTGATTCACATGATATTTGTCCGTTTTATATTGTTTGGAAATCTAAATGAAATCACAAGGAACGAGGCTGAGAAAAGGCGCATGACGAGGAACAAGAATGCACAAAAACGTGCTTTGAAGCAGCTCCCGGCGCGTGTTTTTCTAGCAGTAAACAGATCATGAAAGACGCCGGCTTCAGGCGGAGAAAAAAGAGGACCTCACAGACATGAATAGAGGGTATTTCCTCTCCACCAAAGTACAGCCTGAAATCCTGAGCACTAACTGTGGTGAGCGGTGCTGCACACAGCACTTCAGAGGGGCATACTTGAGTCTGCTGCTGGCTGCAGGACGGGTGTGGTTGAGATGGCGTTGAAAAAAGAACAGAAAATAGCTGGCTTAGCTGTGCAGGACGTGGAGGGAGCCTGCACCGCACTGATCGGCTCCGTCCAGAATAAACTCTGTAAAGTCTGGTAAGGTTTGAGTCAGAGGAGTGACGGGACGTTCCCCCGGAGGAGACGCTGCAACGCCGTGTGTGTGTGTGTAACATGTAATCAGAAAGTCAAGAAATCGGAGGCTCCCCCCCTAAACGTCTTCATCAGGGCCTGCCAGAAACGTGTGTGGTTTGGTCCCTGCCGCCTCCGCAAGAAGCAGCGGGCGATGATGTCAGCGGCACACACGGGAACTTTCCTAAACAAAGGGAAGTCTGTGTGGTTGGGGTGGTAGCTGGCGGAGAAGGAAGGGGGGAGGTTTTGGGTTTGGGTTTAGAGAGAACACACACTCTCTTTTTCATCTCGGTGAACCGAGACCCCTGTCATTAAATCATTAGCACCTTCTTACGGACAAACGAGCCTCACACTAACGAACGAACGGACCGAGTTCGTCAAACATGTTCAGTTCGAAGACAAATATAGTTTTTCTGTTTCCTCGTTTCAACACTGACCAAGAAACTTGACCTTTGAGCATCCCGAGAGTCACTGCAGAGAGGAGAGATCAAACTTTATCATACAAATCTGACAATATCCTGCAAATATCATCAAACAGTTTCAGACGGGAAGAAGAAGAAGAAGCAACCAAAAACAACAACAAGCTTTCTCGTGGTTTGGTTTGGTTTGTCCGCTTAAGGCTACGGAAGAGACGCCTAAGAAGGTTTCTTAACTCAAGGCGAAGACGAGGCTCAAGACTGAGACTCGTCCTTCTTTTCATCAATGTTCTTAATGTTTCTTTTATGTCATTTTATTAATTATCTCTGTTCTTAGTCTTTTTCTTCATCCCCATCATAGAGGTTTTTACTTCTTTTACTCCATTTACAAAGAGCTCTTACTTATCTGTTCATTTAACATTATTTCATCAGGTTTTACTCTTTTTACTGTCTTTTATCTTCATCTCCATCGTTTCCTCTTTCCTCATGTAATCTTTTGTCTCTTTCTTTTATTTCTCAAAACTCAAAAACAAACATAAAAACTCTGAAGCTCGTCTGATGAATGTTCGGTAAACTCAAACAGAATTAATCATCAAATGTTATTAATTAAAGTGAGGCTCGCTCCTCTCTGCAGACCCTTTATTTATCCAGAGACTGAGGTCAGCAGAGTGGAGTAATGGTCGGGGGACCAGATGGGTTTCTAACCAAAACATATCCGCAGTTTTTTTTCATTTAACTCGACCACCAGAGCCGTGGTTAAAGCTCATGACTAAGCTTTTACTGGCCATGCTACATCACTTTGTAAGTGTCTGCGTTGCACTGGAGAACGTAATGGAAAAGTCTGAGTCACCAGAGTCCGGACAGGAACTGACTGAGTGGACCGCTCTGTCTAATGGCATATCTATGGTATCCCATTCAGAAATATGACATCTCTGAATAAGAGAACAGCCGGACCACCAGAGCGCACGCTGCAGCGATGGGTTTTAACACATGAGGTAAAATATGAGGCGGGGGACGCGGAGGTGAGAAGTGACGAGGTAAGACACGGGAGTGAGAATGAGTCTAATGGTTGTACCGTATGTTGGTTTAATCATCACAGGAAACCGAGCAGACGGGCTCAGGTCTCCGCAGAAGGTTCTGGACCCTGAACTGAAGCTGATGAAGCTGATGAAGATGAAGCTGCAGGATTATTAATGTGAGAAATACGCAGATTTACCTCCTGCAGGTGTTACGATGTGAATACCAGTGATGTCAAACACATCAGTAACCCTTTCTTTTACAGTACACTTATTACCAGGTAATTAACAGGTAATTACCAGGTAATTACCTTGTAACAACATCCGGTAATTACATGATAACTACCAAGTCAATACTGTCTAGTTTTTCGCTGTTTGAGCGGAGCATTATCACAGCGACTCACCCGTCAAATGTGTACAATGCTACTGCGCAAGTGGTGGTTCCAGGAAGCAGAGAAAATCCTAGAAATACCAGAGAAATTCAGCTTCAAATTTGTTTGATGATGGAAGGTTACCTACCTGGTAGCTAGACAGTATTGACTTAGTAGTTATCATGTAATTACCAGATAATTTCATGTTGTTACTAAGTAATTACCTGTTAATTACCTGGTAATAAGTGTACCGTAAAAGACAGGGTTACCAACGCATCCACTAAATAAAGCATCATCACCTCAAACACCTTTGTTTCCTCCGACCACAATTAGACTGAACTCGCAATAAAAAGTCTCAAAAATACTGAATCATGTTTAAAAAAACATCTTTTATACATTAAATCATATTTGCTCTAATAAACTCATAAAGTCGAGAATATTTACGCTCTTTTCAGCTTTAAATAATTGTAAAATGATAAATTAAGAGGTCCCACACTTGGACTCCATATTTGAGATTTGCACTTGAAGTAATGGTAATAGTTGTGCTAACATGATCAGTATCAGTATCAGAAACTGTAGACTGATCATGGATAAGTGTTTACTGACTGTGAAGCGAAAAGGTTTAGAGCTCCCCCTACTGGCTGGTTGCAGAATAGGTCATAAACCCCACCTCCATTATGCTAACAGATCGAACCTGGGTCAAACGTAGGATGACCATACTTCCTCTTTTACGTGGCCTTTTACGGTTCTGTACCTAAGTTTCAATTTTGTGTCACGTGGACTTACTGAGTTAAAAGCGCACAAAAGACACTCGCCGGCTAGAAAAACTCTCTAAATTAACTTCGTCCGACTCTGTGACTCCGCCCCGCATCGTTGTGTCCTCATTTTGGGAAGTCAGAATATGATCGCTCTAGTCAAAATAGAAATTTAAAGTAAAGAAAAAGATAATTTAAGCTAATTTATGTCCAAGTGCTAAATTTCAGGGAATTTAAGTTTTAATTAAGTTACTTCCTGTTTAAAGAAAATGATTGACAGCTCTGTGGACAAATGGACTCCTGTGGGGTTTTGAAACAACGAGAGAAAACAGCGAATACTGACTTTCACCACTTTTACTATTACTATCTATATAAGTATTTATTTAAATATAAGTATCAGTATCAGTATAACTATGAGTAAAAGTATCACTCTCTGTGTTGATATCATGTATCATAAGTTATTATCAGTATAACTATCAGTATCTGTAAAAATGTCTGTACTCGGATCTCTGCCTGTATTTCTATTGGTTTAATATATCATATATCGGTATCAGGGTTTGTATCAATGTCTGTATCAGTACCAGAAAAGAGGAAAAAGGAAACATGGGTTCATATTTTAAACGATTTGTTTTGTGAAAATGACTCGGATGAAAGTTGTCGGTTAAACTGACCTGAACGACCGGGTGTCCTCCTGCCAGCGCCTTCACAGCCCCCCTGCTGCCCTCAGTCTCGTAGTGAGCTCGGTGGTGGGACTTGGGCTGCACCTCGATCTGCAGGCTGTACGGCCCTGAGCTGGACGGCAGCTGCCAGTCGAGAGCCGGCAGGGATGGGCTGTTAGGGGGTTAAAAAAAAAAACACATGTCCAACATTTCAACTTAACAAGGAGAGAGAGGAGGACTAATTTCAGACGTTCTTATCGACGCAGAATGTGCTGAATTTACACAAGAATGTGCCAAACCCTGAGATAAAACTCCTCTGAACTTCAGGCCTGTTTCTCGTCTGTGAATGTTTTCAGGAAGTCTATGCAGTTTGAGGACAGTATTGAGAGGCAGAAGATCTTCACTTACCTGACGTATTGCTTCGGCTTGGACCAGGAGTACGGGTGCTGTGGTACATCCAGAAACCCGGAACAGTATCCCTCCTTCTTTAACGGCAGACGGTTTGACGTGTGGTCGTCCAGACACAGCTCCCCTGGACTCAGCTCCTCCCCTCCAGGCTCGACCTTCAGATTGACCGTTGGGATGTTGTCCTGGCTGGTTTTCCGCGCCTTAATGGGAATTCCCTCCCCGAGATCAACCACTCCGTCCGTGGTCAAGGCATTGATCGCTGCCAGTATGGCCGAGTTGGTGTACTGGTTGGTGTTTGGCAGCCATGTCTCCTCTGTGACGCTGAGGCGTGGGGAAGTCTGCGGGGACAGCCCCGGCGAGTGGTTTGGCGAGTACGGGTAGTGCTTTTGCAACCCTCCGCTGCCGTTGTAGCTGTACTTCCTCTTTGCACCACAAGGGGAGTTTGGCCTCGATCCGCGCTGACCCAACCAGGTGTCGTCTGTCACGCTTGTCCGAGGGGACGTTGAAGGCGAGTGGCGAGGGGATCCGGCGGAGGTGCAGCCGTCACCTGGCAGAGTGAGGGTGGAGCCCTTTGGGGACACGGATGGAGACTGCCAGGGGGAGTTCTGGGGGGAGTTGTCGTAGTTGTAGGAGAAGCTGGATTCGTAGGAGGAGGCGTCTGAGTGGCAGCTGCGGGATGAGATGCTGCTGGCCGGACTGAGGCAGCTGGGGTCACGGTAACCATCAGCACTGGGGAGGGTCAGCGTCACTATGGAGTTGACCCGCTTGGCAATGGGAAGGCTGCTCTCCTCCACCTCATCCTCGGGAAACTGACCGTAGGCTGTGATCTCGATCCGAGGGCTCTCCAGGGTCGGGGCGCCGTTTGGTCTGACGGTTGAGGCCGAGAAGTAGCCGGCTGCTCTCATGTCATCCTGGGCGTCGTAACTGTGAGGCTCGGACACGGAGACGGATATGATCGGGCTGGTCTGGAGGCTGTGGTACTGGGAGGGAAGACAAGGGCTGCCCAGTGGGAGGGAGAGACTCACATTTGGCGTGTAGCCATATGCATCTGGAACGCAAACAGAGCGGGTTTGTTAGCGTGATAATCAAACACACATTCACTGGCTCCTCGAGACACTCGTGTGCCAAGATGTGTCTTCAGAGAGCTGTTACCTATAAAGGCAGAAACAGTCCCTCCTAAAGTCCTCAGTTTTTGGTTTGGATTTTATACTTTGAAGGTTTCTTACGACGGAGGATCAGGGCCACATTAAGAAAAGAAAAAACTAAGACTTTGTAATTACTTGTGAAAATAAAGTCGTAATAAAATCATAACTTACAAGAACAAAGTCGTAAAGTAAATTAAGTCCTAAAGCTGCTTTTGTGGAGGAGGAAATGTCTGAACTGGTCGACTTCAGAGTTATCTGTAGGTCATTCAGTTTTTTGATTTCTCAAGAAATAATCCAACTGATGATCAACATTTAAGATTCAGAGGGAGTCGAGCTCCGACGAGCACCGCGTCTGTCTCTGACGCCGGCACAACACCGGCAGCAACCTCCACCTGCAGAGGCACCAACACCTTATGGCGTATAGATTCATACGATAAACTATAGACATATGAAATTATTGCTCTAAACGGCTGCATTGAGGGATTAACCCTCTGCACAGACATTTCCAGCCATTTCTCTCTCCTCAAAAACAGCGATTCCCTACAAGTCCGTCTGGTTCTTTCTGCGGAAAAGATGCATTTCTTGCAAATGTCCTGATACTTATGACTACAGCGGGGCTCCGCAGCTCAAGGAAGAACATTTATGATCGATTCTTCATGGAAATACAATCAGACCGAGACACTAAGGCAAAAGACCTACCGCGTCTACAGTGAAAAATGATTAATATGGTGATTATAACTTCAAGGAAATGATAAAGAAATGATCATAAATGTTCTTCCTTGAGCTGCGTCACCCCGCTGTAGTCCGTAATGGACCAGTCTGAGGTCTCGCTACAAACAAGCGGCTGCTGGAAGAGAGTAGGTGAGTTGTGTTTAGTCTCTTTGCTAAAGAAATGAGTCAAAGTTAAAAAGTTGTTTGGTGTCTAGTACTATGGCTGGGACCCTATATGTCCTGTTGATGAAGTTAGGTGCTGTTCTGAGTTACTAAAGTTGGTATAACTAGAGAAGCAACATTCATCTCTCGATGGGGTGTCTAACTCGGTGTTACGGTGTGTTTGACCCTTAATTAATTTTACGCCGGAATATCCCTTTAATCCTGCAGATTAATCAATGCCAGTGTTATGTTAGCTGCAGCTTTATTGGCTTCCTCCTCGTGTTTAGGGATTCAAGTTAACACCTCTTATAACGAGGATGCCCAAATTCCACCAGAAGAGCCTGATTGAAAACATCTCTGGATGAGTGAAATTAAATAAAGTGAAACAACACAGCAGCCAAAAATAACCCCAGTCCTAAAATAACCGAAGGAAGGCGAGCCCAGGTGGTTTTATTTTCCTCTCCACATCGCCAGATTTATGCCACTTAATGCACGTGCTGCAGCTCATAAACTGTAACCTTAGGAAAACACACACTGATGCTTTTGTTGGAGAGTTTCATGTTCCAGCTGAACATTGAAAAATAGGCTCATGAGGGACACGATTTGCATGCTGTTAAGGTGCAGGCTGTACCCGAGCGAATGGTCCTGCGTGTGCCAAACGCTCCTGCTGGGTCATGTGAAACTCTGCCCGTCTGAGGTCACAACCAGGAGCAGAGGAGGGGGCGACATGGGAACAGGAGTTGTGGTGTGACCACAGCGGAGCGCATTGATACGGGCATGAGGCGACCGCCGCCGCTGCAGACAGATGCAGCCAAACAGCCTGCAGCTCCTGTCTGCTGTAAATTAACCAGAATTAGGGGCCCCGCCATAAAGACGATGACATCAGTGCTTCGCCATATGACTCCTTGTAATAAAAGAAAATGATGCTTACGTTTAATGCTGTTTGCGGCGTGTGACACAGCAGCACTGACTCGTTTTCTTTAATTAGACTTGTTGTGAATTCACTCACATCACTCACAGGTAGCCTGGGGGGGCTCGCCACAAAGTTACCCACAATGCCATGTCAGTCATTAGCACAGGTTCTACCCGGGACTATTTTGGGAGCACTTTTTAGTCATGAGAGGCTCTCGGGAACCACGCCCACTTTGCCCAAATCAGCAGGGAGGGGCGCGCACCACTGCTTTCAAACTGTCACTGACTAAAACAGACAGGAGTGATTATAAACACTGACCCAGGGTTAAAGTGCTTCTAAAAGTCCATTTATCCAAACAAATGTAGGTTTTGGTCACATATGCGTAAAACTGTGATGGTAAGTTGAATAAATGGCACATCAGACGCGTAATGGAGAGGTCAGACTTACCCTCCTCGGCAGATTTCATTTTCTTCTTTTTTGCGCAGAGATCAACGTGTGAGATCCAAGTCTGGTAACAGCTGCAGATGGCAGCTACTCCGTATCCATAAAGCGGAGTTTAGATAGTCCCCAGCTGTTGCTCTGGGTCTTCTCTCTCCGTGGATGAGAAACGACAAAGTGAAGAAATAAAAACAGCTGTCGACTCTTCAGAAGGAGGAAAAGGTCGCATCCAAAGAGGAGAGATCAGCTGGTTCATGCGTCAAAATAACGCAGCATGAAGAAGAAGATGGTAAATAAGGCAGGCGTGTTTTCTCAAAGAGCTATTTTCGTCGCTGTTTTCAGATACCGGACTCGGTGTCGGGGGATCCTGACTCTGCTGGGTCGCTGTGACGCACTGCTCCGGCGCACTGAGGACTCCTGCGCTTTTAAACCCGGGGATCACCTCCGCGCCGGCGCACCGCCCCCTCCACCCTGTGACGCGTCTGCAGCCAGATGGGTCCGGCGGAGATCCCGCTCTCACACTGGGGTTTCCACGGGCTTAGGAGGCCAATTAGCGGAGCTGGCAGTGAGACCTGAGGAGGACCATAAGGTGGGGAGAATCAGACTCGTCATGGGAGAGAAAAAGGCGAAGATCATTAAAGCTCCTGTTGGAGATAATCCAGCAGAACCAGCAACATCATGTTACCCCAAATTCTTCAAAAGTGGAATAAAGTGTTGGAAAAAGTTAGACTATGTGTGCTCTGTTTACTTTTACTTGAAACTACGGTGGCCCTGGAGGTCGGCTGTATGCACACACTGTTTATACTATGGACAACTTGGCTCCGCCTTCCGCCAGTTTAGGGATTTGAAGCCGAAAACCAACATTGCGCAGTAGCATCATGCAAATTTGGCGGGAAAGTCGCCAAGAGTCGCTGTGATGATGGCCCAAACCCCCCAGGTGGCAATATTTGTTTTGTAGATTGGTAGGGGAAGGTCACTCCCTCCTTCGCCTCTTATTGGCTAGAAGTTCTAGGCTCCGATTGGTTATTCCTAATGGCCGTGAAACGTCATCGTCTGTCGGGTTAGGAGATTCAGAAGTGCGGTAATGTTCCGATGTACAGAGTCGACAGCCCGTGTTTGGCTTGAGCGTGTGATGACGTTTCCAGCTTTTCTAGCCAATCAGATGCGTCGCTACCTACCCGATCTGTTTTGCACGAGTGTAAATTTACTTAAAAACTTTATTTAAACTACCGATCGATTCAGAAACAAGCTGGCGATGTGACAGGCTAGCTAGCAGGACGCTCCAGAGCTTAGTCAAGGAATTCACCAGAGCTTCTGCCCAGCACGGTGAGACCTTTTGGGCCACAGAGAGCGCCACCACCTGGTCAAAATTATGGTTCTCTGACTTTTTAAAGTATCAATGGGGGTTTTTATTTCATTTATTTAATAAATTAAATTTATTAACAAGAAGCCGACACATTCTGGACAATGAATTTTAGCGTTTTTAAACAGCGTTTCAATTAAATATTTAAGCCTTTTGGAACTACGATGCAATTTTACAATTAAACTGTAGAAGGAGCCTTTAATCGTGAAACTGGGCGCCGTTCTCTTGACTTTCCAGCGCTCTGCTTTAGTCGGGGGAAGAACTCCATTCAGGAGAAAAGTTAAACTGAAGCGTCCTCTCTGACTGTAGCGAGCTCGCTGATGCTGAAGCTGTCAAACAAGTGTGTTTTGGTGAAGGTAGTGTGTGCAGAGAAAGATGTGTTGAGTTAGTTTATATTTAACAAAATGTGTTTTCGTAGATGTGAGTCTGTGTTCAGAGTTTAGAAAAAGTATCTAAAGTTTGAGAAAGCGCTTGTTAGCGATTGGAAAAAAACTAATCAATCAGACCAACTGTAATGTGTAAGTTCTATCCGTGGGGGCGCTGTAATGTTGTTTGACAGATGTTACACAAAGTTTTGAATCAGAAAGTGACTAATCCGAATCATCTGTGAAACACTTAATGAACACGAACATCATGTTTACGGTTCCCACCCTTTTTATCTCGAGTCTGCTCTCCTTGGCATCACTCATCGACGCTCCGCTGCACGAATCTGAACACACACAATCCCCCTAAATCAAGATTTATGAGCGGCTTAATCCTTATGAGCGTCTCACATCAAACTGCTGCCATTTTCGCCCTGATGGAGCCATTCATCAGCCGCGTAAAGCAGCAGGCAGATGTTGCGCTGAAGGCTGCTGTGTGTCAGACACAATGACAGGTGAGCTGAGGCGAACGCGCAGAAACTTCTCGAGAAGAACGAAACATGAAACTTCCCTCAGATGTTGCACAGGGCGTCTCTTGGGGTTTTCGAGTTATTGCACCGACAAATAATTGCTTTCCACTTCCTCCTGACAGATTACACGTCTGCGGGGCACGAAACACATAATTATCGTTACTTTCATAGAAGCACTATATAAAAATCGAGCCATATACCCATTCATTTGACATGCTGAACTGAGAGTCTTCACAGAGTTTGTCATAGTTTGCCGCTCTCTCTGTGGTCGCTGTATTTTCTCATTCGCCTCTCTCTCTCTCTCTCTCTCTCTCTCTCTCTCTCTCTCTCTCTCTGTTCAGTCACATGCAGGCTGGCTTGTAGCTATCTTTGGCAGGTCTGGTCCTCTCAGCAGCTGGCAGCAGACCTGCGGCTTCTGTGATGACAACAGTCACATGGTGGCTCTCTGAGAGGCGGCCTATCTCTGGAGGTGAAGCTACTTCACTGCACTACACCATCATATCAGCAGCAGGCCCTGTTTGGTGTGATCCTTAGTGGGGCTGGAGTGTGAACGCGTCTTCTTTTGGAGGTCAGAGCTGCTTGTTTTCTTCCATCATGAGACACAAAAGGAAGATGTTGAAGTTATTCCTCCTGTGAGTTCATGTTGCAGCGTTTTATATCTGTTTGGTTAGCTAAAGTGGATATTGAACATGCGCAGTAATAACTCCCAATTTCCACCGCATCCGGAACGTCTACGAAAAGGCCGTATCCGTCGATCGTAGCTGATCGTAACCATTCAAGTTAACGTGTCAATTTCCACTGACTTCTTTCCGTTCCACAGCTGATCGCAAGAGTTCAATTTTTTTCAGACGCCGGAGCATGGCGGATAAATTCAACACAGATTAACCCGTGCTGGAAAGGAAGTCGGGCACAGACACAAAATAAAACATCTGGCTTCTTTTCAAAATAAAACACTCATGCAAATGGGCGGAGATGAACAAGTAAAAGTTTTTTAGACGTCATTTCACCCCGATGACACCATGGATGAGGAGATGCTGATTCTAGAAGTCTAGAAGTAGATTTCCTCCTCCTGAAGGACACAATCTACTGCTTATATGGTTAGCCTGGTGGCTAAAGACAATGATATCATGCGATTACACGTGAATCCGCGGGTTCTTGGGAGTTCTCACGATTCTTGCTGTCCGTAATCTGCCAAGAAATTCTCAAGTCATTTCTGCAGGAGCAGCGACACAAACTAGTTTGTAAACATCTTTACTTTGAGCGCGACAGTTAGCACTTTAACTTTGGTGCTAATGGGGATTTCGTAGCTTTGAGAACTAGCCTCTAGTGGACACTTGAGGAACTGCAGTTTAATTTAGCAACACAGAAGGTCGCAATGCCATCATGCATTATGTTCACTTCCAGTTTGCAAAAGCTGTGAACTCTGTTAGACTATATTTGTTTCTACCTCTCTCCTTTATGAACTCCTGAGGGCGAGGTGCGAGTCTCAGAGGACAGGACATGATATTTAAGAGCTCGCTATGGGAGCAACAGAGACCTGCACTCTGAGGACATTTGCTGCAGTAATTTTAGTGTTAAATATTTAGGCTTTTCTGTTTGGAGATGTTTCTTTTTTTTTAGATATTTTATACAGTTTGTGTTGCTCTTTTGGTTGCATGATATAAAAATGATCATCTCTGTCCATTTGCAGTAAAATTTCCTGCATATTTCACATATTTTCTCTCTCACTTGGACTTTAAACCACAAAGTTTAAAGTTCGCCCGACTTTCAGGGAGTTTTTAGGGGGTTTGTGCACATTATTCAAGATGTAAACAGTTTCCTCTACCTGACTCTTTGCTTCCTCTTGCAGGGACATCAGTGATCCCAGAGAAACAGTTCCAGATATCATCTCTTTGTGCAGCAGCGTGGCGTGCGTGCCCCACATACAGAGTCCGGTCTCCTCGTTACCCGTCGGGCTCAGCCTCCTGCAGAGTATCCGAGGGAGTGACGGCACTCGTGAAACTCTATCTGTCTGTTTCATCATGTGGACGTGGCTCTGCGGTTGCCCAGTCATCCGAAGAACCCCACTACTTTCTTTGACCTCATGGAAAGCTCTCATGAGACCGGGGCTTAGGGGGTGTGGGGGGCTTATTGGGGCAAAAAAGGTGGGAGGGGCCGGGAGGGTGTATCCGCGCTCCGGTTCTGTGTGACTGAGACATGTGTTGCAGTAAACACTTCCACCCGTCTGCTGTTAATAAATAGCTCTGCTGCTGATTGACTCGTGGACCCGTCTACGTCAGGAGGGCTCTGGGGCTCGTAGTTTTTCCAGCCAGGCCTGATGTTGGTTAGTGGACACCTTGGTAACAGGCCACTACAAACCGGATAGAGCCAGAGCCACAACTGAAGGAAGAGCTGAGCAGATAATGAGAAACAACACCAACATCCTGCACTGATAGTGTAGACGCAGCAGAGAGAGCGAGCGGGCAGAAGACCGACTTTGATACCAACAAGCTGCTCAAACTGCTGACGACTGCTGGAGACTCTCAGTCCACTTCGGTTCCTTATGTGGTCTGATCGGAGTCACAGAAGTCTGAATAGTTTCAGTCTTTGAGAGCGAGTCCGAGTCGAGCTCTTGTGTAGCTTTTTACACTCCACCGGAGTCAAGTCTTCAGAAATAATGACACGTGTTTCCCTGTCAGAGGACTTTAAAGTCCATGTTTTAGGATCGTAAAGTCTCTTAAACTCGAATCTTTATATTTAGAATATGTTCTTATAATACAAACATTTTAACATGAGTGTTAATGCTCTCTACTGGATTTTGGGCTGGCCTCAAGTGGACACTTGGGGAACTGCAGTTCTCTTTGCTTGGTTGACAGCCTGGTATTTACTTGGACTAGCTCCACTCACCCTCAAGGACTCACCCAGTTTATTACTTAAGCGAAGAGAAAAAACAACTTCGGCCGACTTTCCCCCAAAAAAACAGTTTCCCCGTCCATGTTGAGGAAAATTGTGGGGCAAATTGGACAGGCGGCGGCGAATTACCTCTGAGTCTTTACTTGAATCCAACAGAAACATCTTGTTCCCAGGAAAGAAGTTAACAGACCCTGTGGCACACCGTCTTGGTCGCCTTTATTGCCAAAGTGCTTCTGTTAAATTAAACGATCCGAGATGGTTCAGAAGTGGGTTTTTGGAGCCCGGAGAGTTCTTGATGATGAGACGAACGGCAGCTTAATGACTCGGGTTGCACCATAAAGACTGTTGTGTACAGTATGTGGTTTTCTTTGGCATCTAAGTGGCACAATCCGGTTTCTAATTTGATCGGGCCGTAGATCATCTTCTGTCCTGGATTTACATTCTTGACCTCACGTTTCATCGCCGATCCTTCTTCCAGGAGGATTGCTCAACTTTCCCGACGTTTGGCTTCAAACATCGTCATTTTGAAAACGTAGCACTGAGGGTTGGGGATGGTCTCACTTTCACAAAGCCACACATTTTTTCTCGTCTACCATCCCGTAAGTTACCCGCTGCCAAACTTTGTGAATACGCTGCCCCGGTATGACGTGGTTTGGCCGCGGCGAGGTGGAAAAGACCTCAACTCGCTTTTCTTTCCACATTTCTAACCCTCAAAATCCAGCGTCTGGCTTTATTTGTGTCTGAACAAAAACACGATGGAACATTTGGACCGCGTTGTAAGTTATTCATAAACTGAGAAACAAGCGGGCCCAAAATGCCGCTGCCTTTCCCACTGCTGAATCACCTGTTTGTTTTGGAAAAACGGATTGGAAGGAAAGTGAAAAAAATATTACTGTAGTTCTTTGTGTTATTGAGGCGGCTCACACACCCCTCTGACCATATGTGCACTCTGAACCGCTATTTTATAAAGTGTTTCTTGATGAAGAATAATAAAACATTAAAAAGAGTCTCTATGGCCGCAAAGTTGAGTCAAGCTTGTGACCAGAAATCTGGCTACAGGAGACGTGAAGCAATCAACCTTTACTGGCAACCCCCAAAAATCTAAAAAAAAGAAAAACCTCCAATTTGCTTGGCAGTTCATGGTCGCCTGAAAAAGAAAGGCAGCATGAAAAGAAAGGCTGTTATGGCTGCAATGAGGCATGTGGCAGAGATGTAATAAACAACCATGTGAAAAATTTAATGAAAACCACGGCTGTGGCAACTTTGGAGATCTGAAAATGAGGAATTTTGGATCCAGAAAGCTCCACAGCGAGGAGAGAATAACAGACGCAGGAAAACCTCTGAGCTATAAACTGTGTTTTTAAACGTTTGTTCTCTGACAGTTTTTACTCCTTCATTTTAACACAAACGTCTTTACTTTTCACCTTTTCATGTTTGGTGATCTGATTAATCCGACTCTCTTTTTTGGGAATCATGAACTCTGTGTCCGAGGATCTTTAGCGCTCACAGCATGGCTACACTGAACAATATAAACAGGGTTTTAAAGCAATATGACGCAGCCATTCAGACTATTACTCATACCAGGTGACACAACATGGTCCTAAACAACGGTTTTTAAAGTTTTGTTGCACGATCATCAAGTAACTAAAGAGTTTAAACGATTCTCCAACCATCAAACTCTGCTTTTAACTGATATCAGACCTTCAGGCCTGGTGCTGATATTGATTATTAGTCGTAACAGATATTCTGAACTAAAATGCATTTAGGGTTTCATCACATCTAGTATGGATATATATATATTGATCAGTTCACCTCAATAACGATAAATGGACGATAACTACTCCACAAGCTGCTCACCTCCTCCCACATTAACTTTGTCTACTTCAGCCGCTACAACTTTTGAACCGTCCTCTGACGTAGGACAGCGTCTTAAAGGGACATGAGACCGTAGCCTACCTACACACATCCTAAACCAATTGTATTCATTTACTTTTTTGACACCGAATATACTGACATGGACATAATGACATCGGTTATTGCCCAGTTTTAGATAGATATACTTTATTGATCCCCAACTGGGAAATTTTCTAAACACTACTTGGCAGCGGTGGGATTCGAACCCACGCCCCCGAAGAGACTGGAGCCTTAATCCAGCGCCTTAGACCGCTCGGCCACGCTACCTTATACCTTCTAATCACTCTATATCTTTAAAACACAAACATCTTTACTTTTTGCCTTTTCATGTTATATAAACTGATTAATCTGACTTTCTTTTTGGGAATCATGAATTCTAGCATCCAATTCTCTAACCATCAAATTCTGCTTTTAACTGAAATCGGTCACCCTACTGTAAATATTCTCTACGGAGTCTAATGGAGCTGAATTCTGCTCCTCTGGACTGTTTCTGGGTGTTTTTAAGAGTTCGTCTGAACGTCAGTCTCTGTTTTAACGTCTAGGAGGAGTCGCTCTAGAACAACCAAACTCTGTACACGGTCCCTTTAACACTAACACCTGTGATATGTATGTATTTGGGTCTAAATGAGGCATTTGTTTTGATGACATTAAGGCTAAAAGATCTGCACAATTTGCAAAATTAGGGGCGTGGAGCTGAAGCTGAAGGTGAGGCCTCAAATCCTCAAAATGTCCCCATGTCCATGTTTCCTACAGTCTGTTTACTGGGGGACTGCTCAGGTCTAAAACAGCTCCTGTTGTCGTGGATATTTTGTTGTTATTCAGCTGTCAGAGCAGCAGCAGCAGCAGTATTGACCCCCTGACAGCACCACACCCTCCACACCACCATCCCCGCTCCCTCTTACAGTCAGACTTCCTGTCTCCCGTCAATGTTCTCCTTTTTAACTCACAGCCGCTCTGACGGAATCCTCCGCTCTGTTTCCTGTTATGAACACCCGTTGCTCGGCGACGGCCAGAGGGCGGAGTTTACAGGAGGCCGGGAGGTTCATGTTCATTTTCTCTCTCCCCCCCGAACGGTGCTAAAGTTGGAGAGCTGCAGCGCCCTGAGGCTCGCAGCTCTTCACTATCTGTCAGCCGGTGGTCAGGCTGCTTCAGGCTCCACGTGCCAGAGGTCGCGGACATAAATCAAGAGCGGAGTGAGTGAAACAGCAACAGGGGGAGTGTGTTACCATAGACTGGTTTGTTGCTGTGGTACACACTGTGGTTGTTTTGCCACATGGAGGAGTTTGGATCGACATGGTTTGGATCCAAAAAACAGCTCCGCTAAAAAGAGTTTAAAGGTGGAGGAGGCAGGAATCTGTGAAAGAAGCTTCTTTATTTGTGGTGTTCTCTTATGACTGTGTAGTCAACATTTTAAATTTTAAAGTTAGCATGCTACAATATAGAAATATATATAAAAAATATATAAATATAATAAAAATATAAATATCGGACAGTAGAAACCAACCAGAAAGTTCGGAAAATTGTCTGAATCCTCCTTTGGCCACGACTGCCGACACAAGCAAGAAAACAAAGTAAATACCGGAGACTCTGGAGGAATAACGGGCGCTTAAAACGGAGGTAGACCGGACAAGAGCTAAAAAGCCGGGTCAACATAAACGATGGGGGACGCTTGGGGATCTTAGTGACCCTGTAACCTTTCTGCTGGACAGGTAAACCGCTTTAACAAAGTAAGACAAGTGTCTGTAACAGAAGTGTTTCTTGTCAAACGGACCTGCTGTAGCGTGTTGTAGCGCCATCGCTAAACTGTCCTCCCTCGGGTCCTGGACTATGTCACTTTATCCTCGTTGTAGAAGTCCTGCAAACATTGTGTTTGCTGGTAGTCTGTTGGCATCTACAGTAGCACCAATGCTTTTGACTTTCACCTTGACTGGGCCCCATTTGTAATGATCTGAAGTATTTATCTGCATTATATCTGAATTTAATTGGAACGATACGAGCGAGCAGGAGCGTCTGTTTGTGGGCGGGGCTTGAGGGGAGAGGAGGAGCTGAGGGGAAAACTGGTTGGGAGGGGTAGGGTTTACATTCAAGATTTCTCCTAAAAACTGGAACTTCCTCAGATCCTGACTACTCCAGAAAACTTTGCATCCTCCTCATCCTAATTTGCATAATCACCTGCTCTCTATACAACATAATCTCTAACATGCATTAAGAATGAAAAGAGGATTTTCCAGCCTCATCGTCCTGAAGATAGTTGATCTTTTTAGGTCAGAGT